CCTTTTATGTACGGTATGGTTGCTGTAGTCGTAGGGGTTGCGGTGTCGTTTGTTTCGGTAGTGGTAGTGGGTCGGTGAGTGTTTCGTCGGATGAAGTCGTTGTTGTAGTTGTTCTTCGTAAAAACACGGTGAAGGTATTTGTTCTCGTCGGATAAGCTGTCTGTCGAGTCACATACTAGTTGTGCGCGTCGTGTTAGAGTTCTGATAGTTGTGGCTTTGTGTGATGTAGGGTTGTAGGATGACTCGTCTAGTAATCTGTCGGTGTGTGTCGGTTTCCTGTAAACTGTCGTTCGTAATGAGTTGTCGTTGTGGTTTACCAGGCAGTCTAGACTAGGCGATCAGACTACACCTTCACATGTTACCCCCGGGTTCAAACCATTTACTGCATTACGTAATGTCTGCAACACAAATTCAATGTCTATTTTCTAGGGAAAGTGCCAGTAGCTGGGTAATAAGTTATGGCCCAATGATAGTATAAGACAAAGGTTATACACACATACCATTATATTAATTGTAATATTTTTCTTAGAAGTAAAAACTTCGTTTAAAATTTCCTTCCAAAAATTCTAAATAAGAGGAGACTCAAATTTTTAAGATTGCATGCCTTCTCACATTAAGCACATGGACAAGATGTACAAGATCTCAGTAATTTCAAACAGTTCTTTGTTTCAGCTTTCATTTGGTATAAGTTTCATTCTGAAAAATTTAATTTTAAAAAAGTGAAAATTTCAGTGTCTCATGTGGAATTGCCCTCATGATAAAAGTGATAAAAGAATCATTGAGTAGTCAGGTCATTCTCCAATTCATTTATTTTTTCCTCCTTATTTTAGACCTCAATATCCTTTATAAAAATATCGGAAGAATTTAAAAAAATGTAATGTTTTTCAGGAATTTGTATTTTGTAGTTGTATTTTACTAGGTTATAAGATTCTGATTTTACTGATATCTTGTTTGTGAATCACTGATGAATCAAGTTAAAAGTTAGGGTAAATTGATCTTCACTTGTAAAGGAAAAGATTAGATTACCAGAAGTTCATTAGCCATCAGTTAGTTGGAGCCTTGAAATTAGCTGTAGATCATATTTTATGCTAAAAAATTGATCTATCCCACAATGATAAAAAAACATCACATTAACCTTGAAATAAAAAAACCCCTTATTTATGAAAATGTAAAGCTAAATATAATATTCCAGCTACAAGTAACAGTTCAATATGGACCATTCAGCACACTTCTAACTCAAGCTGTTATCGCAAGTTCTTAAGTATGGTGAGCGGTTTCATAACTTGTCTCAGCTTCTCTGATCTTTGTGAATAAGTTGACAAATTGTCACCTGGAAATTTTGCTTGGTAAATATCAGGATAGGACTTCTCAAACTACCAAACAAAATAACAAATCAAGATAATCATGTTTGCTTTTACAATCTTAGTAATACAAATATAATAATAAAAAATATAAAAAATAAAATATAAAATATAATATAAAAATTTTATTTATATAAAATATAAATATAATATTAAGCAGAATAAAGACAAGAGTGATGCTACCTGAGTGCAACAACTTACAACTTAATTGTTTAGTCCTCTTGCCACACTTCACTCTGCCTACATGTACTCTATTCTGGACCCTATCCCTCCAATCCCTTTTTTATCTCTGCTATAAACACTTACATGTTTACATCGTCACCTCCCTCTTGACAGTAATTGCCTTGCCCACCCCCCTCCTCTCAAGAGAGGTGCAGATTTACAGCTGTGGAAGGAGTATTCGTTTTTCTCAAGTCCAACATTCATGAATTACTGCTTATTTTGAGTATTAAAATTGTTTGCACACTACTTATGGGGTCAGGCAACAAAATAAATAAATTAATAGGTGTCATATCTATCAAAGCATACCACTTTGAGTTGCTTCTTTCTTTCCTTTGTACCTATACTCTCATCTTCCACAATTTTGTTGAGTAGATCCTTTAGGGAACGTTGAGATGTGATCAGGGCTTGTTCTTTGTACTCTTCAGGGGTGACCCTTTGACAAAATGATACTGTGGGACATTCAGATGGAACAATTGACTGAAAAAAATATAAACAAAAAGAATTAAACAATCACCAAATTACATTTAGAAAAATAATTGTTGATCATAACTTAGCCAGTGACCAGGCTCTCGTTATTAGCACTGTAGCACAAGTGTTTCTTTGCCTGCAGGAAAGTTAGAGGCCTTGAGAACAGCAAGCTGAGGAGAGGTCCCACAACTCTTGCAGACATCTCATCAGCTCACCCCAAACAAACCAAGCTAAGGAGAGGTCCCACAACTCTTGCAAAAATTTCACTAGCTCACCCCAAACTTTCTTGTAAGTGAAGAAACACCCCTGCTGCAGCACCTACAGGGGGCCTTCTTGAAGGCTAACTATAACTCTCTGACATTGCCACTTGATATACATAAAGTAAAAACAGACTTTGCTTTGTCGACAATTCCTCAAAAACAAGAGCCTTTGGTCCACTTGAAATTCAAGTCCTTCAGGGTTCTGAAATGACAACAGATTAGCAAGCATAAAACAGTCTGTCAATGAAAGAAACCTTTACTGCAAATTAGGAATCTCTGATGAGAAACAATCTGAGTTGAACTTGTAGTAAAAACCAGCCGTGCCACAAACTTGAGACATCTATAGATGTAAAGAAGTTTTTCTCTTTTTGGGATTAAAAATTTCAAGAATTTCTTTTAAGATTTGATAGGAGATAAGTTCCATTAGACAGGAAAAATCACAAATTAAAATAAGCTACCTCTCCATGAAAAAAGGTAGGAATCAGCCTTAGCAAGGTCTGTCAGTTAAACTCTAGCCAATTGGGTAATGCTGTGTGTACAATCCTTGTCCTACAGTTGGAGATAAATCTCAGCTGAAGTGTAGATGTTGCAGTGAGTGTTACCATTGGCCCCTACCTTGAAATATTCTGGAAACTTTTCCATCATAAAATACACAAGTCGTATAGCATCCATGTCTGCAGTTACACCAAACACAACATGGCTAAAGGACTGGATAAGCTGTCAATATCACAATGGAATGGCACTGAAATTCTCCACACAGAATCAATGTCTTAAGGTAACTTAAAAAAAAAAAACATATCATATGGTCTGACCATCCAGGTGAGAGCAGTCCTGAGGAGGAATGCTGTCATCACCTCAGTCAACTCAACTCTGCTCATGACGTCCCAAAGGGTTGTCAAAATGTTACTCACTGATACAGTGACTAAACCCACTCAGAGGATCAGACTTCACAATAAATAAAAGGCTTCCTCACCATTTCTTTGGTTGGTAAATCATCACTTATGGAGATCACATGGTTATCCATGAGTCGAACCATAAATTTTAACAACATTTGTAGTAACTCTCTGTTTTTTACTGGAATCATCAAACAGCAATACTGTAGGGAGCGTATGGCAGTTAACTTACAATTGAAGAGAAAGTCTAGGAAAAAAACAACAACAACTGAAAGTTAAACTAGTCTTTGTCACCTATATATATCTACTTTCAGTGATAATTTCGCCTTTTCTTTCAGGGAGAAGAAAAATCCTTGGGATTTACATCTAGCCTGTAGTATTTACAAAATTTATCAGGACTTTTTAAAAAGTTAATTTACCAACTGTTTTTTTGAAGACTCCTAACAAATGTCTTGGAACAAGTGGGCACTTCTGCTCATCTTCAAAGAAACCAACAACGGCTTTGAACACATCACGCTCAAATCCAGCATACTTGGGCAAGCTTTGATTTTCAGAGTAACCACCATTTGGCCCTGGTAACAATGAAGTAATAGCTACAATAATTATAACAACATAGATAATAATTATATCAATAAATATAATAACAATCATCACAAATAGGATAATGATGATATAGATGACTATGTTTTGACTTAATACATTGTAGCTTTTTCAGTTTTAGACTATATCAAGCTCTAGCTCCATAGAGATGATGCAAAAAGAATAGACAAATAACAAGGTAGTGGAGGGTGAGGGGGGAGGGGGGGTCAGGTATTGCCATCCACCCTGTTTAGTTTCCAAAGGCCCACAGGTAGGCAAAAACTATCAAGCTATTAACATCCTTACAGTGTATCAGGCACTTCATTGCAGATATCAGCCACTGTGGCAGGACTTCACCAGCTGTTGAGTGACAAAAAAAAAAAAAAAACAGTTCTTTACATGTATAGTGCTGTTATACCAGGATTTAGAGTGAACTTTTTTTTTTTCTTTTATATTTATATTTACACAGGATAGCCCCTTCAGTGTAGTAAACACTGGTATCAACTGGGGTCCTGTTACCCACCCATTCCACCCCAGGGGAGGACATCCACCACACTGTAATCTCGTGCGTGGGAAATTAACGTCTCCCACCCCTAACCCTGCAGGAGACGGGACCTCCATGTACTTGTCCCTATCCAAGAAGACTAGAATATCTAACCATATCTTGATGTTATAGAAAGGTAGCATATTCTTCTCAATTATTTTAAGATCCCGAGTCCGGCCGGGGCTCGAACCCTCAACCTCCCGTATAACAGTCCAGCGCTCTATCCATTGAGCTAACCGGGAGGCGGTTAGCTCGATGGCTTCAAAACTTAACAATTCTTTTTTCTATTTGTTTTTCAGATACAAATAGCAATCCTCACCTCTTGGGATCCTCTGAAGTTGTGAATTGTGCCACACGCAACTGGTGTCATATCCTCCAATTTTCAAGGAGTTAAGGATTGAATCATCAAGATCTAGAAGCCTTCTTAACCTGGAAAAATATACAAGAAAATGTTAGAGCCAATCCTGAGCTGAAACCCCATAATGAGTGGATCCAAGAGAGGGTTTTTAATTTGTATGTCATCCGTCATTCACTTCCCTTTCAAAAGAATACAAACGTTCAAAACATCGCAGGCTGTACATTAAGTGGCTTGCCAACATACCGGGTGGTAGCAATGTTCCACCAGACTTCACTGATTTCTCTCTCTGTTAGGGATCGCCGATTTTCGGCAACAAGGGCTGCTGGGTTCATTATAACGTCCTCCAGGTCACCGTGCTGTATATTACTCCTTCTCCGTTTCAAGGAGCTTTTAATTTGTCTTCGTTTTGGATCAGTTCTTCTTGCACTCCAAACATTCACTTTATTAACAAGCGGTGTTCTTGATGGTGCTGCACCCATGGACCTCAGGTTATATGTACTCTTTACCACTGGTTTTGTGATTCTCGGATAATCTGGGCCTTCTTCCTCTGTCAATTCTTCGATTGGTGTTTCATCCTTATAAATCGAATTCATTACCTTGTCCTCTGAAGTTTTTCCTTCATCCCTTGCTTTCTGTTCTACAGGTTTCTCACTTTTTAGAGATTGAGTTGTCTTGTACGGGGAATAACGCGCTTTATCTGAAAATCGATACAAATGGTTATTATCTTCGAACATTCCATTATATTGCTTTCCGCGCGCATCCGTTAGAATACCGTTTTTCAGAAACTTTTGGCACAGCTGCACAGCCTGTTGTCGAGCTACATCAGCTCCAAAATTGGGATTATCTTTCAAAAACCCGTGAAGCCAATCCAAAGCTTCTGAAGCAACAAACACATCTTCATAAACTTTCATCCGCCATCTTCTTCTTTTCACTGGAACATTGAGTTTCATCTGATGAACAACTTCATTCCACTGTTAAAAAAAGCACCATATTGAAACCTGTTAGAACCTTGAAGGCATTAATTTAGATAAATCTTAAAAATACTTTTATCGAATTCAAAATCTAATAAAAATTACATGCAATAAGAAGCGATTGAAAGAAAGTCCACGAACATCGTTTCCGAACTTAGAAAGACACTTACAAGTTTCGTCGCAGAAAACGGACCTCTGTTTAAATCACTACTGCTTTCCGTGTTGTCATTCATTTTAAAAAACTCTTATTACACATACGCATTCATAAAATTCATTATTTCGTCTTCGAAACGACACATTCCTACGCATCGAGAAAGACAAGAAGCCATTTTGAAATTCGCCCCAACAACAAATCTTTGCTGTGATTGGACAAACATCCAACCGAGAGCCCCGGGAACAGGTAAGCCCGCAACTTGGATTTTTGTCAATGGGTGCAGGGTGCACGTTAACTGCGCTCTTGTCATTAATGTGAAACATATTATACTGTTCCTTTCCGATTTTCCGAGGCAGTGAGTTTCTGTTCCCTCTACATTAATCTAAATCGGGCACTGAACACAGCTTAGGAGGCAGGCCGCTTCTTGAGAAAAGCAAATTGTTTGCTCAATTTTAGCTCCTTTGAGTCTACACATAAAGGAAAAACAAGGGTAGTTTTTTTCTTATCCTTAGAAGAACTTGAATTGGGAGGCTAGCTTGCTCTCCTATCTACGTCTTTGTCTATTAATGCAATGACATTTTCTTTTTCTCGTCCTGCCTTGTATTCATTCCGACTGATTTGTCTATCTGACTTTTAAAGGGAGTAGGTGTGGTCCAGTGCGGCTAAAGTTAGGGTGTTGCCAACATGTTTCCCTTTAATGTAGAGTAGGGCTGCCTAAGTGTTTCCACCATTGACGCTAACACCAAAATAATAAATGAGTTAAAGTCTGCCATCGAAATGGTACTTTATTATGCAGCCACAACATTAAGGATACAACTTGAGTATAAGAGTTGAGCTTGCCCTCATCAGTTAAATAGCAAAGAGATCCAGCAGCTAGGCTGAGGGTACATTTCACAAACAAGTTTAACAGTTCCAGTTTTGTTATACAATAATTGTTCTTCTTGTATCCATGGTCCTGTCAAAAAGAACTCTGTGTTTTGGGTTTGAGCAACAGTGATGATGGAGTCAGTGGTTTTTTCCTTTAGGATTTGAACTACACCGAGTGCTTCCTTGATGTTTACAAAGTCTTTTCTGAATATCATTCTGCTGGTTGCTCTGGTTTTAGTATATGTTCTTTCAACTGTGAATTCTGCTGCTTCCAAAGTTTTTCTCTTCCCGAATATTTTTCTCTTGTTCAGACTTGGAGGCAGTTTCATTTTGAAAGAATGTTCAACACTCCTTGATATGGAATTCAAAGCTGTAGCCAGTTCTTTGAGAGAGAAAAAAAATTATTGAAATGGCATTATTATCTCTTGCCTGTCAGTTTTTATTTTCAGGGCCTTATATAGTAAAGGAACCGTGCCGCGAAACAAGTCGGAAAGAGTATTATCACTGAAAGACATGGATTTCACCATTTTATGCCTGAATAAGCAATTCTTACCTTTCGTAACAATTTGCATTTCAATTGGATAGTGATCACTCACAAGAACTGCCTGAAATTAAATAGCAAGTACTATGAGAATAACATAAAATATTATAGGAACACTGAACACAGTAATGATTCAGGGGTTTCATTAAAATTTGGAGCAGGAGGGCATCTGGATTTCACAGGCGAGCATCTGTCTGCAAGGCCCAAAGGGCCTTGCCTTCTTGGGGGCTCGGGGGGGGGGGGGCATGCTCCCCCTAAAATTTTTCAAATTCTACAGTTGCAGAGATGCAGTTTCCATCATTTTATAGCACAAACTAACATCCCAAAGTTACCAGCTCTTTTTAAATTATGATTTGATGCATCAGTCAACAGACAAATTAGTAGATTTGCTTTTGCAACATTTGGTTGCATGGTAAGGTCACTATAAGCTGTTATAGTAACATCATGTATTTCATTATTTGCCAAGTTCTCGGAAGGCGTTGTTTCTCTGCAGCTATCATTTGCTGGGATCTCAGATGACACGACGGTTTCTGCGCAAATATAGCGTGGAATATAAGTGTAAACGATTGATAAGTTGTTCGTTTCAGAGGGTCTATGATTTCAATAAAAGTATAAAAAACGAAAAGGTGTTGGCGTTAGATTTCCTCTATTTTCTAATCTTACTAAGATGGTTCTGCTAACAAACACACGGGGTTAAAAAGTTCTTTTCTTTACAGTTGCCGTGAACGAAAGATTTCTGTTACCACACGAGTAGAGTTTATGCATTCCACCATCCACAGACACAGACGAAGAAAAGTTAGCAGCTTCTACAACAAATTGACTTTCAGTTCCCGTCACTCGCAGAAGATTCAAATTTCAAAAGTAAATCAGAAAAGAATGGAGCTTTTGGGGCAATTTTCAATCACTATGGGTGCGGCATGTCTTTCTGAACATAACTCAAAACTTTAATTTAGTGCCAACTGGTTGTACCATTTACGTAATGATACGTCTTGCAACTCGAGCCGGCGGGGAAGAAATTGGTCACGTGCTAGGCAACCAGTTGAGAGAGCTAGCCGACTAAGATAACAATCTTAGAGAAAATAAACTTCGTGTATTTGATAAAAAATGGAAAAACTAATTTATTCCAAGTACTGCTATTTTTTTATGATTTGGCTTTACTGAAGGCACTTACCGCGACAAACCGTGAACCGGAGATTTCTGAATCCAATGTGCTAATTTATTTTAATTTACAGCATTCAGCCGTTTTTAGTCTCGTCACGCAACGCTCCTCCCCATTCATCAGGCAGATTTAAATCTGCCTTATGAGTGCTTAACGCACGAAACTCAGAGTTGCAGCGAACCATGTGTATTTTTTTCTAGTCACTTAATGTTATATAAGTTTAAATATATTTTTTTTAGAAGACACATTAGGAAAACATAGGAAAGTGACTTTTATATTTTTCTTATGGTTGAGATGTTAAAAGCAGCCGGGCAATGTCGTCTTCACAGCCGGTCAATTTTCCCGGTGCCCGGCCCTTAATGAAACCCCTCCAGTAATGTATGGGCTTGAAATAATACCATGGTCTCATTGATATCCAACTCTTGGTCATATTTATAACTCTCCGCACTTGACGCAATAACTGCATTCAACATGGCATCTCCAGCAACAACGAATCTGGAAAAAGGCAAGATGAGAGAATCAAAACCTCTGAGGACTAGCGTGGTTAACCGGCAGCAAATGTGAACTAATACTGAGTGCAGTGCAGTGCAGTGCAGTGCAGTGCAGTGCACTGAATCTAATAAGACTGAGGAAACCTACAATCTAAGCACATTAAAGTGACAAGATATCTACTTCAAGAGAACTTTAATCATAAAACATCCGGTTAAACTCTAACTGACCGGTCATAGGCACACTGTTCTCCAGCTACAGTGGTATCTACGCAATCAGAAATGAGCCAATGAAATCGCACGTCATTGGCCAATCGATTGGTTTTCCATTTGCTGTCACTCATGAAGCTGCAGGCTGCATTTAAGTCACCAAGGATTATCACGTCTGTTATGTTAAGTTTCCTGATAACGTCGTCGTATACAACAACAAGTTCGTCTATTTCTTCGTTAGCTTTCGCCGGAGAAGTGTGAATAGCAACAAGCACAAAATCTGTGATATCTGTTAAAAAAAAGTAAAGATTAAAAACTAGTATGACATGACTATTGGAGCGTAAACATTCAAGGAAACTAACTTAATGCGGTAGAGGTGTTTAGTCTAAAAAAGCCTCATCGGATTACGTTCGATATGATACGTCATATCCTTGTTCTGGATATAAAGAATAAAACCAATCAGACTTTCGCCAGTCAAAGCGTGATCTTGTAGGGTACACTAGAGAAGCCTCCTATCATAATCTCAGACGATCAATGCCAACCTCTGTAAACCCTTCAAACACTCTTCTTTGATCCCAAGTCCCCTCGGGGTTTGACTACATACTTACCGGTCACTGAAGAGTAAAAGTGAACAATATATGGTTCCCTTTCAAAAGTATCACTCTGAAGATCTTCTCGGCCGTCATCGTAGGTATAATTATGTTTAACAGATAAAACGTCTTTCCTGTAAAGAATAAGGCTTCATTCAAGTTATTGTCAAGTACACTAAGGGGACTGCTTGGGGTGACCAGAGAGTATTAATATTGAGGGGTTGAGTTCAGAGGGCTTTCCCAGACAAAAAAGGGTTTAACTGTCTGCTCACAGTCGTCCTCGGCATTGTTATACGCATCGTGGACGCGCTTTTTTAGTATCTGCACCGAAACTATGGAACTCAATTCCCGAATATATTGAAAGAGCAGAAACAGTCGAAACATTCAAAACTAGGCTTAAGACATTTTTGTTTAAAAAACATTACTGTTAATTAATTACTTATTCTTATGTCTTAATAATCTGTTGTTAGGCGCATTGAGATTAGAAATGTGCCCTATAAGCATCTATTTATTATTATTATTATTATTATTATTATTATTATTATACACTTGTTTAACAAATTTCGTCCATTACTTCATGTTGAGGGAAGAGAACTGGGACGAGTCTGATCTGTCAGTTATGCTTAAAAAAGTAAAAGGCAGCGACTATGGATGAAGAAAGGCCAACGTTCAGCAGCACAAATCTGTACCAGTAAGAGTACCAGTTTTACGAATGCAAAATCGTTGTATAAGTAATAAATTCTCGTTGACCTCACCTAAACAGGAACGCGTATTGTTCTTTGCTTGAAGATCTTCCAAGTCGCGGACTGATGGTGATATCGTAAATCCCTTTAGTAGAATTTCTGTAGAGTGCAAAAATATAAACAGATAAGGATAAAAGTAGCAATAATAATTGTTATAATAGCAACGAGAATCACACAAAAATGTGTTCTACTTACAGCACTAAAACGAAAACTGAAACCGTACCATAAAACTTTCAACACGTACTTGTTTACTAGCGACAGCAATTTAAGAATCGCTTTACCAGAGGCATCTCTGATCTCTTGGATAAGAATGACCTCATAGCGAAGAACAATCTGCAAGCGTCATAGAGAGAACAAAATGACACAATAGTAAACAATTACACAAACAATGGTCGGTATGACTTATTGTACTCACCCGCTCTCCAAAACGAAATACAGAAGAAGTGCCAGTCGATTAGAAGTACTGACCGTAAGACTGCAAACACCTGAGGGGGAGGGGGGAGGGGGGGGAGTTTTGAGTGTTTAGCGAGTCTATGTGTTGTCTCTGTCTTCGTTGCACTTAAAGCTTGCCCCATAATGTTACTTGCCGACCATAATGTTACTTGCCCCATAATGTTACTAAGAACGATTAGTAATACGTTCATGGCTTTGCAGTGACGTACAGTAACTAGTGAAAGAAGTGGCTATTCTGAAGGAGGAGGCGAGGGTTCATTCAGTTCATCTTTTTGAAATGGAACAGTCCGTGTGAACTGAACAGCTGTAAGAATAATCAACAAAAAGTCGAGCTAAACTTAGTTTTCTTTTCCGGTAAAGTAGTTAATTTTCATCGAAACATTTACCGGGATTTTACCTTTTAAAAAAGACAAAGTTCTTTCGCACAACTGGGAATAAAAAACTGTTTATCGCCCGAACAATCTCGCTCTAATTGGCCTTGTGGTAAGTAAAATGATGCCTCTTTTGCCCGAAAACATTCTCAAAGGAATTTCCGAGACAATAATTTAAATGAAACGGGACAGCATCAATGAATTTACCAACATGAACATGAGCAGTCCTCAATAAGTATAACGACGAGTACAACACTAAGGGCAACTGTAAAACAGCAGCATAAGATCATAAGATATTACAATGTCCCTTCTCTGCCCAAAAGTTTCTTTCCTTTGCACCAACAAAGCTACAAACTAACAACACACCGGCTACTGCAGCAATCACACTCGAAAAAAGACAAACATGAGCTACACCAACCTTAACAAGAAGTTCTGGTATTCCTGGTGTCGCCATTTTCTTCTTGCCAAATATTTGGACGTTGAAAGCTGCAATTTTCAGATTGGTGGGCTCTTTCTGTGAATTGTCTCTTCGCATTCGTGACTTGTGCTCATCAGGAAACTCAGCAAAGAATGGCCGCTGAATGTTTTCGGCAGCATGCACATGCTGGCTAGCTTTATCAAAATTTTCGTTGAGGAAAAACAGGGAAAGTGTCGCAACGAAACAAGCCAAAGTGGTAAAACCCATTTTAACGACACTACATACCAAAGAAAAAAGCTCTCTTGTACCTACAAATTAGGAGACTCTCTTAGACTAATGTAACATCCCCGAAGACAGGTGAGATGGGCACTACATAAAAAATGGACACTTCAGAGTACGCATTAAATGCTACTTTACGGAAAATCAGGGATTAAAAAAAAGCAACCAAAACCCGAAAAAATAAATTACAAGAAGGCAGAGTCAGCCCGTTATAATTCAAATTCGCTCGATATTTTTGCCACCATTTGGCTTTACAACGTCCAAAAGTTTGAAAACAAGACAAAACGGCACAAATCAAGATAATTCGTAAGTTTTACGGTGAAAATCTACTCCGTGGCGGCTGTCTGAAAAAGTCAAATATTATTCTTAACGTTTCAAGGAGCTAAGTCTGTGTTAACCAGTAGAACTCAAGAAATCACTTCTAAAAATACAATCGAAACTGCGGAGGAAAATATATTAAAAAAATTTAATTTATTTCCCTAACAATAACAGTATGAAATAATTTCCAAGGACTTTTCCTCAAACTTATCTTAAATTGCTTTGACAAAAATTTCGTTGTACATGTGCGCTGACGTTATCCTTGAAATATGATCTCAACCCCCTTTGATCTAAATGGATATTTTAGCTAAGGAAATTTAACTAGAGATTTTTTTAAAGACACCTAAAGACGTGTTAAATTTCATTTAAAAACTAAGGTAACGAGTTGCTATTGACTCTGATAATTACACATAAGGTGCCTTGATTTGGATCAAACTTTTTCTAGTGGAGTAATTCTCTCCTCAAACAGTGAATAATTCCTAAAAATGTGAAGCTAAAATATAGCCTCTGCTATCTTGCTCGAACGTTTCGTTTTACCATCCTTTCTTTTCCTTTACAGCCAAATTCGAAGAAAGTTGAAAATAATTTAACAAGCCAACATAGTGGTTTTTATGGAACAGTATAAGGTTTGTGAAAATGTTCGAAAATAATGCCTTTTTTTTTTATTTTCATAAACAAACGCGTTTGAAAATGGCTTTTGCCGTGTAATTTGACTCTGCAACATAGAACACATTAATTCCCAAAACAGAAAAAAAAAAACCTGAAGTATTCTATTCATCCAGCAGCTGAAAACACAGCTATTCAACATCAAATTTATAAGTCGTCAGCTTCTCTTCAGTTCGATTCCAGGGTCCTGTTATTCGGACTGGAAATCTCTTCCATAGACTGGGGATGAGCTGTGTGAATGAGTGAGTATGTATCCACGACAACAAGCATCCAGCCACTGCCTCAGTATCCACCGGAGACTCATTTGCTCTTAGAAGGACTCTGACTGGCTAGCCTTGTTACCAATGGTTTGTGGTACACCCAGTTTTCTCCCACTTCATGGAACAACTATCAATCAAAACCAAAAGAGGCAAGCGTTTAACCTTTAACAGCAGGAATATGAATAGAATCACTCAGGCTTTCAAGCCTCTCTCTCATCTTAACTCACCTTACAAGATGTCCCCTCCCCCCCCCACCTCAACCACAAAACAACTCACCTTTGTCTGCCAAGTTAGTCCTTTTTCTTTTCTTTCTCTCGCCTCTGCTCGCTGACGTTCTTCTAACTAAAAATAAAAACATCGCACAAACGGTTAAGTCCTATTCCAGTTATTTACTTGACATAATCAGCCCGAAAGCACCCTGAGGGCTTGACATTATTCACATAAAAACGAAATTATTTCAAATAAGCTATCAGGATTTAGACATCTCAGATATCACTTAGATTTAACTCAGTTAAATGACTTAAGCGGGAACGCTTGGAAACCACACGCTGTTCACCAACTATCTCAAATCAAAACTAACTTCTGCTCCAATAACAAAGAACATATTTACAATACCTTGTGTTTCGCTTCAGTTGCATTTCCCACGTCGTCATCTTTTAAACTTTTTGTAACATCTTTCCATAATCTAAATGAAGAAAGATTCTTCAATCAAAGAGGGAATACTTACTCTTTCTCTTCAAACAAATACAACCTACAAACAAAACTAACCTCAACAAGATGTGAGATGCTTACCTCCTAGATTCGTTTTCTTCTTGTTTATGGATTTTCTTTACCGTTTTCATTACACTTGGCATGCTAACTGTATCAACAAATAATTCGGGTTCCTAGAAAAAACCAGAGTTAAAGATGAGGGGAAAAAAAGTCCCGCTCTCCCTTAGTGAAAATTAACTTGATGTCGTAACGGCGGCGGGTGGGATTTTCGTAGTTTACAGCAGTTTTTAAGTATGATAAATGAAGACTCTGCTATCTTTGACAGGTAAACACTTCACTTTGTGGTTCATTGGTTACCTCTCGATCGGAATATTTGGCAAACATTTGTCCATTCCATTCCCCTGTGATGGTTAGAAACGTTTTCTTATCTTCCGGAGAACTAAAGCCAACAAAAAACACCAATCAACGGTCAAAGGACGAATATTCGTTTTGGAAAAGAAAACAGCAAGAATTCCAGCAAAGTGAGTTACACACTTACGTCACTTCACATGTTATACGATGCTTTTTTCCACCATAAAAAGGCTGAAATGTAAAAAATATTACTTATCATTATACATAGGAACACAAACAGTACGGCAAAAATAGGAAAAAACCAGCTTCCTCTGGGCATAGCAGTAAACACACCCGACAGTGGAACTGTACTGCAGCTTGATATCCAGTTTTAGAACAAGTTATGTTAGTTTTTCCTCCAATTTCCACCCAAGGAACTGTGAGAATTGATCTGTAACACGAAAGGTTCAAATTAACACCAAGAGTCAATATTTCACATATGAAGCAACTGAAAAAAGTCGTCTCATCAGGCGAAATCGTGTGAAAAACACATTTCACAATACTGAACACTATTACCTGCCATAACCATTAGGGAATGTTAATACATAGTCCTCGTTATACGGTAAAACTGACACACAGCCTAAAGCAAGAAAAACAGGATCAGTCTGGAGGAAAAGCTTTGACCTGAGGTGTTTCAAAGGTAAAATATTGAAGCCTTAGAATAATAAAATGTCACCTTGTCCAATATTTTCAACTCCAACTGACAGTCCCAGAAACTTTGACTTGGTCCAGATGTGCGCGTTCAACGTTATCTGTTTACTGAAATTCTCTGCATAAAACGCAGAAACTAGGAACAAATAACAGACATTATTATTCTTCCTCAAGAATTACATGTCAAGCATCTGGCTATCCTGCCAGAGATCAGTACTCACTTGGGGGATGATGGGATACTTGCTCAGCAATGAAAGTGACGTCATCTTCTGAAGCCCACGGCAGTGGACCATCAACAGAACATTTCTACAAATCATGAAAACATAGAATCTTGTTTAGTTACAGATTACTTCAAGAAAGACGTCTGTCGTTTGATATCTACCATGGTGCATTTTTATATTATTATTAACTCAGTCGTAAACCTATTTTACCCAGAGAGAAACAATCATCTTTACGTTTTTTTTTTTTTTTTCGTGAACATCAGTCTAAGTAGGAGACACCAAAAACTGACACGTCAATTTGACTTAAAACCACGGAGACTTTTGTTTCTCATTCAGCAGACCCCAGTAGGTTTTTGAAACGCACCAGTGACGTACCAAGTCTGCAACAGCTCTTGAGCTTTCAATTAATATCTCGCTATTGGGATCTCTACAAAGAGTAGGACCAAGGGTCGGACCAAGGCATCCACATGATGTGTATTTCAATATAATGGTAACAGAGAGTGGTGGTAAATCAACGCATTTTCCTTCTTTTAGTCTTCCTATTTGTTCTGATAACTAAACATAACCTGAGGGCGTCTCTACTTCCTCATTTGGTGAAATCTGTTCACTTCCTGTCTTCAGTTAAATTCAGTAATTTTCCTTTTGGATGGTCTGAATCCTCACAGGACATTTATTGTAACGGAGCACATTTTTGAAAACAAACAAACTTGTGTTTCAATGGCTTAAATTGAGGTTAAGTCCTTAACGACTTATCTGATCTGATAAGCTACGTTATTAACTCACCTCTGTTCTTGACGTTTCACACTCAGGTAAAACCCAGAAACAACGAAACACCTCCCCTAGGATAGGATTATATGGCTTCTTTGCTACCGAGCCCTGTAAAAAAAAAAAAGTTTACATACACGTGTTCTTATCAACAACAATAGCAATCTTTATTATACTAAAAGAAACTGTGGTGGTGCGTTAGAGGGGGAGTATAACAAGGTAATTTATAACATAACCAAAGTAAAGCGCGCGCTCTGATTGGCCAATTTAGCGTCCCCCATTTGTCCATGGGTGTACGCTGCTGACGTGAGCAAATGCAAAGACTATTTTTCCGCGCGCGCTTGTTTTTTTCTGGTCGCGCAAGATTTGTTAAATAAAAGGGAACTCTTTAGCTACAATGTATCAATGTTATGTTATGAAATAAATGGTAAACACCACAGCGTACACTATTGAGTTATGGATGCACTTGGGAGGTTTGCTAAGCACTCAAGAAGCTAGAGTCGCTCTCGGCTATCGCCTCGAGCGACTCTTACGCTTCTTTCGTGCTTAACAACCTCCCGCGTGCATCCATAACTCAATAGTGTACGCTGTGGTGTTTACCATTTGTTAATTGATCACCATAGAGGGTTTCAAAGCTAACGTTTCAAGCGTTAACCCTTCGTCAGCTCGAAAGGCCAGCTTTAAAACTCTTTAGGGTGGCCAGTTTTTGTTATACTGATCCCAGTGGAGCAATGAAAATTTTCTCCTGGCCAGCTGTACTGAGCCAGTGCTAGTCAAGACAGACAAGTCTATCAAGGTCATTTCACCGATTAACAATTCCTGACGGCTTTGTGCGAGGGAGGAGTGCAAGAGAGATCTTTGGAGTCACATCCTGCGGCTTGACGTCGAAGGTATCCATGGCGACGGATAAGCCGTCAACATACCTTTTATCAATGGATTTGAACAATGTACTATGAATAAGCTAAAAGGGAAGGGTGGCCGCCTGGCATTTTTAACTCTTAGGTTATTTCGGACAGCCAGCGCCCCTATCATTGTCTGTACTATTATTATAAATTTTTCTCTCTTGTATATTTTGGGGTGAAAAAAAATAAAGTTGTGGTTGTTGTTGTTGTTGTTTGGTAGCGAGCAAAGACTCTTTAGGGATCACGTTGAAATGTAATAGATGAGGAAATAAACAACCTGTTTAAAGCGGATTTACCAGAAGAAAACTGCATACCTTAAAAATGAAGATATAAGAATTAAATGTGTAACAAAGAGGAATGTTCAACATACCTTACGACCTGCGTGGAAAGCAGACAAATACCACCTGACTACTGCTATCATACGATCTCTTGGATGTGAATGGTTTACAATACTGCAATACAACAGAGAACACATGGGTTTATGAACCCTTAAACACTTCATGCACGAAAAACTGTGGAGACATCAAATTCTTATCTGTTACGCAATATGTTGACATGGACTGAATATTGGCAAACCAAACTACCACCAAAAAACACTGACGTAACTTACTCGACGAACAGGTCAGGGTGAGCAAAGAAATCTGCATACATTTCCAACAAAGACCTTCTCTCAAGGATAAACGTCGGTAAAACAACCTACAAACGAAAAAAAAAAGCTATCTGAGCTGTCAATCAATCAATAAATCGATCGATCGAACCAATATAGAGAAATTAAACAGCATAAATGATTCTGTTGTCATAATCATAACTAAGGAGAGACTTTCTAAAGAAACTGTGGTGCTACGTCGGCGGGGGTATCACAAGATAAAGTCGAACCTGTATTAAGCGGCCCCGCATTACGCGGTCAGTTGCCAAAATTCCGAATCTGTTTCTCCTTAATTACAGTAATTTGAACCTCTATTCAGCGGTCACCCTTAATTACGTCCCAAAGGCCTCTTTGTATTGTCTTTCCCCTGTATTGAACAGTCACATAAACTAAGAATAATCTTTTAAGTAATTGTTTTTCTCCCAAAATCAAAGTAAGTAGTATTTTTGAGCGAGATTCTGCAATTCAAGAGGTCAATTGTGACATAAAGTGACGCGTGTCGTTTTTTATAATACCTGTATTTAGCGGTCAACCTGTATTACGCCGCATTCTCCGTGAGTGACCGCTTAATACAAGTTTGACTGGTTTTATCAACTAAATCGATAATGTAAATTGGCCACCGTAAAGAGTTTAAAAGCTAAAGTTTCGAGCGTTATCCCTTCGTCAGAGCGAATTTTAACTCAGTTGATAAAACCAGATTGTTGTTATAATCAGTTTACCTTGGTCAAGTCCATTCCCAGACGCACTTGAGATAACAGATGCGTGATAATACTACTGTGTTTGTCGATAGCCTCGACTGCAATCAACAAAAACAACCCATTGACTTAATATATTGATGGACTGGACAGATACTGTAGTGTCTTTGTGTACTCTGCTCGGTACGTGCGTTTAAACTTGAGAATAACTGACGACAAAAAGAAGACCAACCACAAGGGACATTAATAAGTTAATGCCACATTAAGGGAGGAGGTTTGACTGAAGTCAATTCGCTAAATTCCTTAGCCTGAAACGGTAGTATCTAACTAGTGACCTGGGTTTGACATAATAAAAATTACATTAAAGTGTTAGTGCACTCTTGATTGGATAATCTCTCATACCTTAAACATTTATCCCGATGAAACACTTACGCCACATAGCAGCCGAAACCAAGTCACTCGCGTTAAATGAGAAAATATGGAAAAAGAGCGGTTTAGTCTTACCTTTAACAGTTTTTGCCATTGCTTTCCGCAGTTTTACCGAGAATTAACGATACAGCGTTCTTAATTATACTTTTGCTACTTTGCCAAATATTCCCGATTACGTAATTGGCTATGTACATCAGGTGAGTCTGGTGATACAGTGACACGGCTATGGTAATGTTAGGCACGTGCTTCTCTAACCCACACGACATCGCCAAAATACAAGATAAGAGGGTCATTCATCGTAACAACGTTTATGCAATGTTTTTTGTTATGTAAAGCCAAGACAACTGGCAAGGAAGATTATGGAGGGTAGGAATAAAAATCATTAGTATATACCAATCAGGTGAATGGTGCTTTTTCGCGCAGTGATTGGTTATTTCGGAAGTAAATAGCTAGAACTATTTACCTCCGAGCAGCCGATGAGGCAAAATCGCGTGTCAAGAGTTTAATTTCTGACCATTTTTCGCTTTACTGAAAAAAATAAACAACTCTTGTCGTATCTTCGTGGTATACACTAAAACAATTATTCACATCACCTCCACTTCGGTAAATAATAATTGTTGATTATTACTTTAACCGCTAACCGATAACCGCCTCCCGGTTAGCTCAATGGATAGACCGCTGGACTGTTGTGCGGGAGGTCGAGGGTTCGAGCCCCGGCCGGACCAACACTCAAGGTCTTAAAATAATTGAGAAGAATATGCTTCCTTTCTATAACATCAAGAAATGGTTAGATGTTCTAGTCTTCTCGGATAGGGACGAATAAATGGAGGTCCCGTCTCCTACAGGGTTAGGGGTAGGAGACGTTAATATCCCACGCACGAGATTACTGTGTGATGGATGTCCTCCCCTGGGGTGGGATGGGCGGGTTAGGATTGATTGTAAATACCGCTGTATAAGTGATATATTGTAATTGTAATTGTACTTTGCTGCCTGTGAAGTGTTTCATCGAGAAAAATGTTTAATATATGAGATTATCCAATAAAGAATGCACGAACACATTAATGTATGAGAGATTATCCAATCAAGAATGCACTAACACATTAATGTAATTTTTATAATTTCAAACCCAGATCACTAGTTAGATACTACCGTTTCAGGCCAAGTAATTTAGCGAATTGACTTAAAACCTCCTCCCTTTTTGAGTGCATGACGGGAAAAATGTTTTATAAGATCTGTAACACGCTCTTAATAATTTTTCCTTAATAATCCCCTGAGCCGAGATAAGCATCCTACCTCGCCTCACAAGAATGATAACTCTAAATATGATCCCTCAACTCCCTTCAAGGTAGTAAAATTTTAAGCGAATCACAGTTTTCCTGTCAAAAGTTTGGTTTGGTCACGAGAGTAAGGAAGAAAACAAAACAACAGTTTTTTCTTGATTTCTGAGTCCAAAAAAAACCGATGAGTATTGATATCCGCGTTGAGGCCGACCGACTTTCCCCTCGTTAACTATTAAAAGAAACTCCTATGGATCGTTCCGCGCTGTATAAAGTCAATAAGTATTACTTTTCTTTTTTCCGTTAATTCATTAGTATTATTGTCATCATTAGATCCAATACTTGTATTTTAATAAACTTTGCGCCTACAAACACTTGCAATTCACTTACGGTCTCCTCCTGTTGTGTCATCATCCTCGATTTCATATTCGTCTACATCAAAAAAGAAATTAAAGAAAAATCAAATATAACAACAACAGTGTGAAACCCTTTTCGACTTCCTCTTTTCAAAAATTTTGAACAGGGCTTGACTTAACATTCAAAAATTAGATTTCTCTGACACTTCAGATATTCCAGTAGAAGAAAATAGCCACAAGGTCAAGTGTTTTAATTGAAAGACTCAGGAGACTCTGTTACAAAAGGGCTTGTGGGGAAATTTAACTACAAATTTCACGATATAATTTCAAGGTATTTTCACGATTTACGCCAAGCAAACTAAGAAGAACTTATAGAGAATTTTAACCAAAACTGTAGGATGAGATGTGTCATTCAATTGCAACTGAAACAGATTGGAAAAGCAGTTGCAGTTCATTGAACTTTTTTTCAAACCAATTCCCTAGCCCTTAGCTGTGGACATGCTGCCATTGATAAAAATAACACAAGAAAATACCACGATCCATCCACTTCTTGGATGCTGAAAATGGGTTACTCCTGGGGGGCGAGCTGTACAGAAAAAGAAAAAAAAAAACAACTGTCAACAACGAATTCACAACAAGTTTGATTTGAATATTTCAAAAATTGTGATATCAGGTATGTCTAACTCTTTTCAAGCTCCCATTATGGTAACTTCTTTTCTAAGTACAGCCAACCATACTTTGTGGCACAATATAAAGAGCTGTTTTTCACATGACCCAGCTTGATGTAGCTTACTGCAGTTGTAAAGCAGTGCAAAATATAATAATGATTCGTTATATTACAAACAGGCAATGTTGTTATTGGATAAAGAGAGGTCCATTACTAACCTTGAGGGTGCAGATTCTGAGTAATGGAACTCATCGGCATCAAAGAATTCCACTTCATCTTCATCCTCACTACTGGAATACGAAGTAAATGGTACTACATGACCATCACGGCTGGGTGACAAAGAGAACCCAACTTGTGGGTGAATGCTTGTTCCGTCAAGTTGTAAGTGAGATGGAGTATTTCTTTCAGCTGACGACAGTTCATGGTTGGATTTTGACGTTACTTTAGAGGATTCAAAACCACATCCTTCATCACTGGAAACTGAGGAAGACTTGTCCCTAATATTAAGTGAGGAGTCACTCTTACTGGGCTTTAGAATTCTGGTTTCTACTGCAGTTTCCATATTTTGTTTGCCTTCATTTGCACATCTATCATTTTCCTGTGCAAGAGAAGGGTCTGAGCTTTTGGCTGAGTAATGATCATTGAGTACTGGCATTGCTAGCTCTGCAGAAGAACTCTCAGCAATTGATTTCTCGCATTCTAACTGTTGGAATAAAAATTACATGACAAACTTTAGTTTTTGGGTGTTCATAGGAAGAAGAAGCGGTGTTAGTTATTCAAAGCAGAATAATACCATAAATTAATGATGACAAATTATCAGCAAAGTTTAAGTCTTTAAATAAAAAAGTTGGTCTATCAAGTATATAAGAACAGTCACCTTTAGAGCAGACATCTGCTTCAAACAATGATTCATTGACTCCAGCATTTTCTGTTGGAAGGAATAATAATTATTGTTTTCAAGGTATCATCAACAACCATTTTTCCTAAGCTGATTAACTACTAGGAATAAATCCCTAACTGAGCTGTTTTTTTTCTTCTTTTTGCTACAGCTATTTCTTATCATTCTGAATTTTGCATATGAGAAAAATTCTCTTGTAATCGGTCTCAGTGGCGACTTTAAATATTGAAGTTAAGTTACAACACAAATCATTCAGTAAACCATAAAAGAAATATATTTTGAATAATAATTTACGGCCCTTTAAAAACTAGGAACCTAACAGGTACCTGTTTAGAAAAGCATTATTTTGCATGAATGATTAATATTGTATTTCAGGAGGACAAGATAATACCATCTAGCATTTTTCTTCATCATCTAGGTTTCCTTTTAGGGTAACTCAGTCCTGTTTGTTTGATTTTATTTACTTGTAATGCATTAATTATATTTATCTTCCGAATTTGAAATTTGTAGGAACCTTACTCATTTTACTGGTGCTTGAAGTTGTGAAAACAAAAAATTACACTGTAACTTCAGTCTTGCGGAAGGATAAAAACAATTTTGCAAAATATCTCCAAATGCCAACCCCATACACTCAATTGAATATTTCATGGAGGCCAAATATAAAAAATTGTAATAATAATAATTATAATAATAATAAAATTAAAAAATAACCACGAGGTAAGTAAAGTCTGCTAAAAGTAATATGTTACTCTACACAACAGTAAATTCACGTGTAAAATGGTGCATTCAGTGTATAGCACTTAGTCTTTTTATTTTGTTTGTTATCAAACAAAATAACTTAAATTACAAAAATAAACCTTTGTTAGGTTGTACTGAATAGAAACAGTCGGAGACTTTAAAAGGGGTACAACCTAAAAATTGATAAGAATAGGAACCTCAATAACAGATAGCCTTGTTCTTTCTGCAATTTTATGGACCACAACTCTGTCTCAACCCATAAAAAAAAAAATTGGCAAATATTCAACCATCATAACTTCACCCTTGGTCAATAATGCATAGATGTGTTCAGTCAGCGTGTTTCAACAATCAGGTTTTCGCAAATCAAAATTTATACCAGTCTTTCAAGATTTAACCCTGTTCAACTTGCAGTTACTTACAGTAGATGTATCCTTTAGTATGGCATATCTCTAAGAAACCACAAAAAGTACATATGATTAATTTTAAGCTTTTTGACTATAAGGTAAGAGAGGCAAAACAAGTTTGAAAAGAGAACCTTCTGTCATGAATGTTAAGGGAAAGGTGACAGGATAGACGTCTCAACGCAATTGTAATAAAAGTTGACACAAAACAACAGCAAATGAAAATACCTGTGAATCTTGAGCTCCTGTATCAGCACTCATTCGAGAATGTAAATGCTACAAGAAAAATTTAAAACAAGATTGTAAGGTTTGTCTTTTTAAAAATAATAGAATCATATAGAATTCTCTGAGCAACTGGAGGGGCTTCTCCATCAATCAACTGCACAAATCAAATTTACTTCAACCAAAAGTTGCAAAAATACCTACTTAGGTTCATATTAAGTAAAATGAAATGAGAAAACAACATAACAATTTTATGGCTTTCATATTTTGGTGGTGAGGAAACTCTGCGACATTGCAACATACATCCATTCTTTGATGTTCCCAAAGTAATGCACTAAGATGGCAAAATAACTTCTATCTTGTAAGAAAATTTGGCTCCAAGCAATACTTTGATCAAATCACAAACACAGAAGAGAGGTGGGATAGTACGTCCACCATGGAGATGGGGGTTCTACTGTCAGAGATGAGACATTGTATATGTTGTAGTTCAATTTTATCCTTGGTTCAAATTTTATATTCCTTTGTTTCAAACTCATTATCATACATTAACATGACCGAGAACATAGGAAAATAAAATTTGAACCGAGGATAAAATTGAACTACAATATATACTCCAAACAGAGTAATACAGAATAATTGAAATCAATTCAATATTATTTGTTTACACCTTGATTTGTTGTTCGAGAATCTTCTGGTATGCGTCGGCTTCTGCTAAGCGTTGTTCCAAATTTTCTTGAGAGGGATCAAATAACGTCTGAAAACCTGCCATTGGTCTCTGATGTGAATAAGGCGCAAAACAATGTAGAATCCTCCATGGTACTCAGAGTAATATTACTTACCATTTTACATAACCTGAGCACAAATTAGAACTTATCACTGACTCATTTGAATTTATGCAGATTCATTTACATTTTTGTCTGATTTCTCCCATGACATAAAATATAAGAGAAAAATCGAGTTTCCAGATGGGATTTGAACCCACAACCCTCCGTGATCTATATCACGGAGGGTCATAGGTTCAAATCCCATCTGGAAACTCGATTTTTCTCTTATATTAAAAATTGTTTATTTCATCTTGACATAAAATATAAAAGTCAAAATCCACAGTTAACATTCAAAGGATTATATTGAGTCATTCCCAGCAGAAAAAAGTGTATCAGTGATTCATGGTTCAAGTATATCAGTCTTACTTTTATTGAATATGTCTAGAGACCAGGGAGATATCAAAGGAATGTTCCCTTTTTTACTTTTCAAAGGTATTTAAAAGATCCTGCCATAGAAAATGAAACACAAAACCTTTCTGGCTTGTGAGTGTCTTTTGATTGTGTCCTCTAAAGCTCTAATCCAACGTTCTCTCTCCTCGGCATCACGTGCTGACAAAAGAAGAGGGAACTACTACAATCAAATTCTTCGATAAAATAAAAGGAAAATAATTAAAAACAAAATAGTATCACAAGACCAGAACTGGGCAGATAGAACTGAGAATACATAAAAAAAATATATTTTCAAGAAAAAGGTTTTGAACATTGTTATTTTTCTGACTTTTATTTATTTCAAGATTTGTACATATAGTATACAGGTGTTAGAACAAAAGGATATAGCATCCCTTATAAGGTTCAAACACCTTACCCAACCCCATAAACCTAAAAACAAAACATATATATGATATTAATAAAAGCATCTTAACAAGAACATGCGTTTCTTATATTCACTCTTCTACATTTTGGACAAATAATCTTGTACGAGTGAATATTATCCCCACCAAAAACAAAATGCAAACGCCAGAAGAAAAAAGATTTGAGCTTGCGCTTAAAGGAGTCCAGAGAAGTAGCTAATGTCCTCAGGAATACTATTCTACAAAATGGCAATTCTGTTAAAGAAAAATCACGGAAAAGTGAGGTGCCAGTTCTGTTTGTTCTAAGATAAAGTTCAGAGCTAGCTTGGTGAGAGCACCCCCTTAGAAAGGAAAAATATTTATCAAAGTGCTGTGTAAAAATTGCATCTCCTTTAAAGGACTTATAAAAGCAAACTAAATCTAGATATTCCAACCAAAAACTTAGCAGAAGTAAATTTAGTTTAATCAGATGATCTTTGTAACACAAATCACTGTTTCTACCAACAATAAAACACGTGGCTCTTCTCTGTACCTGCTCGATGAGGATTAACTGATTTATAGCAGACTGAGGGGCCTTAACTTGCAAGCAATAACATAAATGGGAGCGTACTAATGAGAAGCAAAGGCGCAAAAGAGCATCACCATCGACCAGACCTGTGCAATTTCTCTTTAGGAAGCCCAACATCCTATTTGCCTTAGCAACAATCGTAACTATGTGCTCCTTCCAAGAGGTGTTGATGACAATCATAACCCCAAGATCCTTTTCAGATTTAACCACCTGCACATCAATTCCATGTAAACTGTAAGTACGTGGTGTGCTTACACGTTTCTTAGATATGCACACATTTTTGCATTTGGCAGGATGAAAATGCATTTCATTGTGCAAGGACCAGTTTAAAAATGCATCTAAATCCTGTTGCAAATTTACAAAATCAGCCTCTTGCTCTATGATCTTTATTAATAGCACTTTGAGTCATCAGCAAACATTGCAATCTTTGCGCTAGATACTGCCTGCATTTGACATATCATTAATAAATAATAAAAATAACATCGGTCCAAGTATTGACCCCTGCGGGACCCCAGATCCTACTTCTGACTTAATACACAGGTAAAGGTAAAATAGACTTGTTAAACAATTTAACTATAAAGAATTGCAATAAAATCAAAAAGTTTAAAAAATTAAAAACCATCTTGGTTTAAGAGAAATGCAACGACATTTCGACGTTCGCTCAACGTCATTATCAAGTCAATAACAAGTGAAATGAGAATGAATACAAATGTAAAAGAATTCCTAAGAGACACAAATAACAAAATTGTAAATATATAAATAACAAAGAATTCACATGCAGACTCACCTATTCGCATGCAGAGTCATGTAAAGAGTTTGGCACAAATTGAGTCTTTCTGAGTATTCAACTCAGGGTTCAGTTCCTTAATAAATAACATCTCAAAAATTAGACAATCAAAGTTTGATCTACATTTCTTTAGAACAGAAAATTGCTTATCAACCAAGTCAGTCTTCAATAGACCGTGTTGCTCAAGATGCCTCCAGATTGCAGAGTATTTGTGCTCGTTAATGCGCTGGTGTAAGTGTCAGGCAGTATACGCAACATAATCTGCGTCGCACAGATCACATTCAAATTTGTAAACCGTGTATTGATTACTCTTAAATACTCAGAAAAACTCTATTCACACCAAACTCTTTACATGACTCTAAGTGCGAATGTGACTCTGCGTGTGAATTTTTTGTTATTTACATATTTTCAATTTTGTTATCTTTTACATTTATATTTGTTCTCATTTCACTCATTATTGACTTGATAATGACGTTAAGCGAACATCGAAACGTCGTCGCATTTTTCTTAAACCAAGATGGTTATTAATTTTTTAAACTTTTAAATTTTATCGCAATTCTTTATAGTTAAAGGTAAAATACTTGCTTAAATATACAGTAGGACCCTGCTAATAGGGACTTACCTAGGGACACAAAAATGGTTCCTGTTAGCAGGAGTTTTAGTTAGCTGAGATTAAATGACTGGAAAAAAGGGTGAAGGGAAATCAGATCTTGTTTGAGTTATTGGGGGGTTCAACTCAACCAAGTTCGAGTTAGCAGGGTTCCACTGTAATATGCCTTGGTTTTATGGTAATGTACGATATTGTACTATAATGAGGTTGAAGCTTCATAATACTAGTTATCAAACAGATGTACTGTAAATTTCACCTTTTGACAGGCTTAAGATTGATCAGCTCGTCAAACCATCTGAACGTGAATATCTGATCAATTTAACACTTAACTTATGGTTTTTCATTAATAAAGGTATTTTCTTGTATTCTTCACAAGTTTACAACATATCAGTTTCAATCAGTATTCTCTCTTTCTGAGAGTTAGCAAGACAGCTGAAAATAGGAAAATCGTTTTTTGATTGAACAGATTTGTTTCTTGTCCAATTAAAACCAGTCAGTGACCTGGAAAATGACCTCCCAGTGGAAAAAAGTTTTTTGCAGGTTTCAGTTTATAACAATGGAAGATAACACCAGAACATCGGGTAAACTTTAATTGTGTTAGACAAAACTCTGTATTTCATGCAGTAAAGCTACTTCATAGCAACTCCAAAGAAACAAAGACAGCCGCTAGACAAGTATAATGACAGAATTAGATTAAAGTATACATACAACTTATGGAAGTGATCTTAAGTTTGCTGCAGCATATAAATTTTGTTAATTATTTGTGGAGGCAATATACATCTTTACTTAAAATTTGGACAGCAATAAGAGGCATTATAATAAAAGTGTATGGCTATATAGTAAAGTGTATGGCTATATAGTAAAGTGTATGGCTATATAGTAAAGCGTATGGCTATATAGTAAAGTGTATGGCTATACATGTAGAAATCAGTGTTAATATTTTAAGGAGAGCAAAAACTTTCATTTGGATACCTTGAAAGTGAAAGGTCTTTTGATCACAGCTTATAGTAAAAGTGCTGTCCTCTTCATCATCAATTCCTATGTTTGCTCCCTAAAAATTGATTGAATCGTGCTCACCAACTCTTCCACAAATAAAAGTTAAATGAGTGCTTCTCAATTTTGACCTGGACTGTTACATAGAGATCAGGCCGGCCATATCAGAGGATCTTTAGCCACATGTACATCATAGTTGTAGAAGTTAGACACATGACCCTTAGAACAAGACAATATATGGCAAGGAGAGGGAGGGGATACAAGTCTTGTACCCACCCCACCCCCTTTCTTGCATCGTATAATTATCCATAAGTTAATATTTTCCAGTGTTGCAGACATACATCTTTGTCAGCATCTTTTTCCCCAAGGCTTGGCTTTTCACCATAATGGGTCCTTTACCAGAAGTCAATGCCTTTTGCCAACTGACCCATACGAAACAGTGAAAAAGAAGTACAGGGTTTACCAAATATCAACTTTACTTACCTTCAGACGTAAACATCCTCTTCTTGTCCCTCTCATCATTTTGTCCTTGGACTTTAACCAACAGCAACATGGTCAGACAAAATTTACAAATTACCAAATGACATCATCCAAGTACGATCGCAATTAATTTTAATCATAACACTTCTCTGGAATCAAAATTTCCGCTTCGTTTTCTTTTTCTCCCAAAGACGCCAAATAACGTAAATAGCCAGTAGGCACGACCCAAAATATGTCGCCTCACGACCCTGCTCACCTTCCCTTGTCCTTACATTTCACTGGGTGTGCATCCTAGCTGTTTTGGCTCAGTAAACGTCTATGATTGACTCTCAAACACAAACGCAGGTTTAAAAGTAAATGGTAGTGCTTTGTTTTTTTCTGGAAATGATATAAAAAAGAATTAGACTCACCGTATAATAGGATAACAGCCCTGTATTGTCGTCTAAAACAAACCACCTATACTGCCATCCTTTTACAACGTTAGTCCATTTAGAAAGGGGTCCTTCCATCACGACCGCCATTTTGAATCTTTCCTAGAGCCCAATCTATCAGTAATTTCACGAACAACATAAGTCATGTGATATGAGGTGTAAAGCATCCAGTACTTTTAATCTCCAAGGGGTTGCTGCGGCACAGCGTTACATTTTGACTGATTATGCGAACACTTTTCAAAATATAAAATTCCTCGAGCAAAAATAAGATACTTTCTTTCTGTAGAAAATGAGGAGGGGAGGGAGGTGGGGTAGGGTGGTAATGTTCGGAGGAGTTATTAGAAAAAGCCGAGTAGACAAAGGAAAGCGCTCGCCTTCCACCAATGTGTCCCGGGTTCGATTCCCGGACCCGGTGTCATAAGTGGATTGAGTTTGTTGGTTCTCTACTCTGCTCCGAGAGGTTTTTCTCCGGGTACTCCGGTTTTCCCCTCTCCTCAAAAACCATCATCCTTTGAATTTATTTAATTTAGAGTTTATTTGCATTTACACGCGACCCCACATGCTGTTCAGCTTTAAAACATTATCGTGTCTAAATAAAGGTGTTGTTGTTATTATTATTATTATTATTATTATTATTATTATTATTATTATTATTAATGGTGAGGAAAGACTGCTGAACAGAGATGCAGACATGATAGAAGAAAAGGGAGAAAGAGCGCATGGAAAACACTATGTAAACTTAGCGGGATAGGAGAAATGTGGTATGAAGTCAAAAACGGGCGGATGAAGAAGTACAATAAGTAAGAAAACGACAAAAGGAATACAAAACAACTGAGTCTGCTATACTTTCTCGCCATTTGTCATCTCTCATTAAACATGTATGAAAATTTTCAGGCAAAGTAATCTTGAAGTATAATATATTTACAGATGAATTTCTCACAAAAACATCCGCCATTAAATGATACTGCGTTACAGCTGAAGCTGGAAACATTTCCATGGTCGGTTCCAAAGTAGCTAATGCTGTAACGGTTCAGTTTTCGACATGGTTTTTCATTTTTTCAAATCAGGCAAATAAACGAAGAAAAATCGGGAAAGAGGAAGAGCCTCCTTCCTCTGTTTATCCATATTTAATTATCAAAATCGTTGTTAATATTATTATTATCATTATCATTTCTTTTTTTTATTTCAATTTCATTCACTTTTTCGCGCGCGACAGATCAGACAGAAATGAGTGAATTTCAATCTTGACTTTGGCGTGGCCATTTAAACTCCTGCAAAAACGAGCCAGGTGGAGTAAAAATTTCAGACATGTACGTGTGGAACTAGTTTTCTCTACGAGTACCTTTGATGACTACGTAACTTCGCCGCAGGCTACACGCTATGTTATTTGCTTATTTAGTTTGCACGGGACTCTCAACTAAATACTTTTTCCATACAACATCACTTCTGAGGTTTTATACAACAACTTTCCCCTGATCTCTCAATTTTCTTTACTTTAACTTCTCTGCTTGGGAGAAAATAGGGTTACTGGCTGAATTTGCAATACACGCAATTACACAGGAATGCAGCTCAACACTGATGAAAGTGAAAGTGTCCGGCCGACTATTTCATTACATTTGGTAGTCCAGCGTAAGACTTACTGCGCCTTCGATGCTGTGTACAAGCAGTTCCCTCACGTGAATCACTGGCTATTGATGAAGCAGAGTGATCATCAGCCTCATCACCGACACTAACTGATCTTCGTCTTTGAACAGCAATTACAGAGAACGAATCCGTCAAGCGTGGCAAAGAAGGAAGAGAAACAGAACTCCAACCAGAGCCTTTTCCCCCGTCTTTCTCTTTGAGATGACTATTCTTATCTTGAAGAGGTGGTAACACAAGCGTCGTCTTCCTTTCTGTTGTACTTTTTTTCCTATATTGGTTTTCAAACCGATTTTGTGCAGCTCTAAGCTGACATGTTTCTGCTTCAAACTGTTTCATCAAACGCTGCTTTTCTCTCTGTAAATTATGCTCTTCTCGCGAATTATGAGCGTTTGCTTTTCTCCAACTCTTGGAGGCCATCATTTTTTCATTTTTAGATAATGAGGTTTTCATCGTGAGAACCTTCAGCGTCACGCAGTGATGTTGTTTCAATATAGCGAACTACTGAGTGTGTGGGATTAACCACCCCCCAGCGGACCTTTGTGAAGTCGTCATTTGGACGCGATACAGAACAAAATTATCATTTAGCGTAACTAACGATTGTTATGCGAAAGATATTTGGAAACAGCCTGAAGGCGAACTGCACACCATGGATAATACATAAACTACAATAGGGGAGCTAGCCGGAAAATTAATGCAGCTTTAGAAAAATAATAAAAAAAGAATAACGGCAGATTAACTATTTCATGAAATAACGTGTAAATTCTTGCAGAGAGAAGGGCTGAAAGTAAACCACTTCCACAATATTAGCACCGAAGACCAAGTGTTCATGCAAACATCGCTCGTCAGTTCCGTCAACCTCTGCTTTTCTAAGTAGAGAAATTTAAACTTGAAAATATTATTCAAGTTCCAGTCTCTCTTATATATCTTTAGTTTGTTTTGCCACATTGTTCGTTACGAGAACTAATACAGACTGAAGGCCAATAAATCTTGAATGTTCCACTGGAGATAGCAACAGGCTCTGTTCTGCTCTGAATTCAAAATTTACCGTAATGGGTTTCCTAATTTTTTCCCGTTTCAAAAACCCTTTGTCTGCTTTACTCTTTAAAATGAACTCAATCAAGCGACTGCCCAAAATGTGCTTTTGAGTAGAAGAATGAGAAAGAAAACAGGATTCATTTGTTGCTGTTACCTTGGGCAACGCCTTATTTTTTGAACAAGATGGAAGAGGGGAGATACAAGCCGTTTTTAAAACACCATTGTCCTCTTCCTGACATTCAATCTCTTCCAGGGCAACCCCTGAAGCACAAGTCTTACATTTGTGCCATTTGTTGACGTCACCTGGCACTATTTGCTCTGCGCAATCTCTGTATGAGTGACGCATAAACAGCGTCATACAATGGGGCGTAACCGAGCCTTGTTCTCTGTCATGTCCCTCGCCCTTAACATGCCACATTTTGTCAGCTGCGCTGAGATCAACATGTTAGAGATTTCTTTTTCACCGAAAGGGACATCCAAGATTCTTCTAGGCTCCGTGTAGATTTGTAGTATTTTGTTTTTTCAGAGGTTTGTTCTGGCTGTCGGAAGATCCCTTTCATTGGTTTTCTTATTCCGCGTTGTGCTCTATTAAGATTAAAAGATATTTTTCTTCCTTAAGCACCAGGGGCCGATGCGACACAGGACGAATTTTCCATACTCCGTGCCTGATTGTAATCTTGCTTTCCGACAGTAAGTTTGCCAGAAAAATTACTTTTCCACTTTCTTTCGTGAAACTCAATGTCTTCCAATTTGTCAGTCAGTTTTCTAGTTTCACGAGGATTCTTTTTAAAATAGCTTGGCCCATCTTGCTGACAGACACATGTATTGTTTCGAAGGCTAACTGCCTCTGAAGTGATTTTAGACGGCTTATTGCGATAAAACTCGAAGGCGAAAAGGATAAATACAAATTAAATACACAGCAGGTTTGTATCGTAATTCTCTTTCTAGTCTAGCTAAGTTTTAACCCTGGTATTAAACAGTCAGCTGGTTAGTAACTGAAAGGAAACAATGCGGTGGCATGGCTAACTGGTAATTAAGTGATAACATTTGTATGACGTATCAGAAACAAAGGGTAAACACCATTACTTAATACAATATTTTATGCAACGATAGGCATGGTCCTCACATTGACACCTGTGATACTTAAGGTACAACTGCAACACTTTGATTGGTCCTCACACTGACACCTGTGGTACTAAGGTACAACTGCAAACACTTTGATTGGTCCTCACACTGACACCTGTGATACTTAGGTACAACTGCAACACTTTGATTGAATAGTAACAGGTTCCTGTTAATCTCTGGGGAACAAATCACACGCCACTTGGCAAATTGCTTTTGATTGTTGCATGGCTTCAAAGAAAGAGTTTTGCAAATGTATCTAGCAATATCAAAGTGTGAAAACCTTTGATTAAGGTTCCTTGTGAACACTGTATATGTGATATCGTGTGTACTATATTCATGTTTCCTGAGTGTAAACTTTGTCAGATTTGTTCCATTTCACGGCATGATCGTTATGCTATGATGGAAAGTTCTGTATTAATATCTATTACTAAAAAATGTTAATTAATTTGATTATTTGATATCACTTCACAAGAACATGTGAAGGTAAAAACACTGAGGTATTCTGGATAAAATACAGTTAATGGTTAATCTTCTCTTAATGTCAGAGTGTAAGATGTATCTCGTTGTTTAGGTCTTTGTAATGGATGTGCCACCAATGCCGCCATATGGTCAAACAGGCGTGTTGTACTGCGTGATACTTCCAACATAAACCCATCTTCTTCTTCGTCCATGTCACAGAAAAAATCATATATTTCCTATTTAATAGTAAAAAATGTTAGGTCACATTTGCAATGAATAGCAAAAAAATATTAAGTCACATTTGCAATGAAGTTGATCAGCACCTTTGTGGAGCAATAAATTTGTTGCTCCATTGAACCGCATGAGGACAACTTTACTCCAATTCCATCTCAGTCTCTTTACAGATCTATGGTTTCAATCTTAAGTTCCTTTTTTTATTATTCCTAGTGGTAGGCTTACTATTATACAGATTAAGTGCTCAGTCGCTAATGAGGCTAATCTGTATGACATCAACAGAGAATTTTTCTGAATGACTTCCCTAAAAAAAAAAGTAATTTGCCTACCATGAACACTAGTATTCCAAGTATTCTCTGTTTTCAATGTTTGACATAGCAAGTTAAGGAAGGTTCTCAATGACTTACTTTGCACCGATTCATTTCTGAGGGAAGCTCATGAACATAAAGAACATCAAGAAAGAAATATGGGCAGGCAGACAGTTGTGAAAATATCTGCAAATGACAATAAAAGTGGTCTTTTAAACATAACCCACAGTAAGTACCCAGCATTGATCAAACCTTAAAGTATGCCGAGCTGGAGGGTGAACTTTTTCAGTGGCTTCTGAGGCTTTTCTCTAGTATTAGGCACAGATACAGTCAACCACACCTTTAGCAAAAATTATACCATGGTGAAGTGCATGGTTACTTATACCAGGCAATCAGAGTAGAGACTGACAAATAAACCAGTTCTCTTGTACAGACCTCCTTTGCTCTTGTAGACATTCTTGGTATGCAGTAAGATCGTCCATACACTATGATAACTCGCACAACATATGGAGGGGGCAGTGATATGTCTTCCACATGTGGTAAAGTAACATTTTCTTGTCTGTAAGAAGTAAGCACAGAATGAAAAATTAACTGAATATCATCCATAGGTAAAGGTAAAGTAGATAAAACTTTTTCCAGGAGCCATTACATGATAACTTTAAATTTGAAAAGATACAAATCAGAAACAGAGACAGCTCATGACTTTCCATGACCCTTTTCATTACTCTCCATGTCTAACAGTTATCTACAAATATCTTTTAAAAGTGTGGAGGCGCGGTGGCCTTAGTGCTCTCGACTCTGGATCGAGTGGTCCGGATTCGAGCCCCGGCCGGGACATTGTGTTGTGTTCTTAGGTAAGACACTTTACTCTCACAGTGTCTCTCTCCACCCAGGTGTATAAATGGGTACTGGCAAATTTAATGCTGGGGGTAACCCTGCGATGGACTGGCATCCCATCCAGGGGGGAGTAGAAATACTCCTAGTGGCTTCATGCTACAGAAACGGGAGTTAAGCACTGGCCTAATGGGCCACTAGGCTCGTAAACAGACTTTACCTATCTTTTAAAAGTAGTTAACTTCTAAATCTGAACATGCAAAATGAAAATATCTTAAAACTTGGAATGAAGAGCTCATGTCCTCACCCCAGTATTATTTTCAGAACAAAATAGTTACACTGGCACTCTGGTTAATTCACTGTAAAAACTTATCTTATGATATATATCATCCTTTCTTTAAATCACTTTTCTCAAATGCATTGCTAAAGAGAAAAACTCACAATACTTCAAATAACTTTGCCATATATAAAATGACCGTCAAGGATAAAATTCAATTAGAATATATCTGGTAACTTCCAAACAACACCTTAAGTAAGTCATGTTTAGCATACATCCCATAATTTCTCCCCCCTCCCCCCAACACACACACACACACACACACAAAAATGGCTTAGATGAGATTAAGGACTGGAATTCATTTCATTGAAACATAGAGCATTATAGAAACTGGTTGGTTCAATTAAATTTGCCATTGATGGGTCACTACTTGATCAATATAAAATAAATTGGGTGAAAAAGTGTTTTATTATAAAGGAATGTAAAATGCTACTTCAACAATATATAACTTAATACAATAACTTGCCCCTCCCCAAAGAAAATAGCTAAAAGTAACATTACAAAACAGAATATGGTTTTTAAGTGCACAGTACAGGTACACCTAATAAAGGATATCATAATCCTCATATGTTGAAAGTTTGTCTTCTGGATGAAGGATGTTCAGCATGCTGCAAATTGTCGCTATATCACTGGTGAAATCACTCTGTTAAAAGGAATTTTTATAAAAAAATATCAACAAACTTAAGGTTATATATCTAAAACTTAATTGCATCAAATGCTGTGTCTAGATTCAGTATTAAACTGGCAAAAAAGGGTCTCATAGCAACAATATAATTTAAGGTACGCAATTTTTATTCTCATGTGTATGTACAATCCTTTCCATTCAGATTACACCATACGTCTGATCTGCACCAAAGTTTTCTGAATGATTTAATAGATAAAACGTCTCTCTTTGAAAATTTCAGAAGGTTAAGAAAACTTACAAAAGTTGGAATATCATCAAGGCCAACAATGCAGAACATGTGTTGTGCATTGAGTTTTGACTTGGTCTTCACAAATATTTCTCCTGCCCGTTGGACCAGCTGAAATGCTGTTCTGTACAAATGTCAAACATACACTGCTTTATGCTCTCAGATTTCAATCTAAAAATATTTGAACTAATGGAACAACAACAACAACAATAACAACTTATTTATACTCAATCAACTGGAGCTTGTTAGGCTCCTAGCATGTACAGCTAGTGTGTCGAGTTAACAAATAATATATATAAATTAACTATGAAATAAAGGTACTGAGTCAACAAATTGGCGAAAAATATTATGTATTAGGGAATTGAGAACAATTTATAGCAGCAGTCCCTGAACTATAATGTATAATACCAAACCCTCTGAATGACCAAGTAGGAAAGAGACCATTCATTTAATATTAACACCTGTGTCGCACATCGAGGTTGGGTGCCTAGGAACCTGGGGCTGGAGCTGCTGAACCCAAACCCAGGTAGCAAGAACACCCAAAAGCCTGCCCTAGCCACAACCCCACCATGAGCCCAGCCCACCACGCCCAGCCCAAGCACCCATCACACTGAACCAGGAGTTCAATGGAAAGATTAAATAAAAAAAATCTTTAAAGTAAACAAGAACACCTTGAGCACTAAGCACAGTTGAACTATGAGCACATGCAATGGCGCACACATAAGAACGTGACAGGTAACCACTGACCACGAGTGCGCTGGAAGTTGCCCGCAACACACCTAGAACAGAAAGGTGAATGCCATGCATAGGATATATGCCAGCTCGTCAAAGTATGCTAATAAACACCACACAACTACAGAACAGCTACAAGTAGCTCCTAGTCATTAACTAAGTTAAATAAGTATATTTAACTTCATACTACAAAACCCCTTAATCGTAGATAAAATAGAATATAATATATCACCTATCTAAAACAGTTTTATTTTGAAATGATGTTGACTTCATCTCTGCTGATAAATCCAAACATAATATCTGAAAAAAGAATTGAGCAAATGTTTTCATTCCCTTTTGGCTCTCTCAACAGACATTTTAAGAAGTGACCTAATATGTTCGAATAAATAATAGATCAGTCATGAAACCAAAATTTTCCTTTGCTGTAACTTGTTGACTTGCATTCTCAACTTACAGTATGATTCAAGCTTATAACTGGTAAAAGATAACTACAATTATTACAAGATGAGCAATGTAAAAAGTCACACTATTTCTTTGAATAAGCACCCATGTCCTTATTTAGAATTTTGGCTAGAAAGAAGGGTACTTACTAGAGGGAGGTAATTTAATCAAGGGGGGGCACTTATTAACACAGCAAAACAATAGAGGAAGCCACAATATGAGGATAGACATAACTGGAAGTGACTTAACAGAAAATAAACTATTCTGCTGTACTAATTCCACTGTAGCTGAAGCTTAAAAAATAAATGTAACACTTCTAATAAAAAAAAAAATTAAACTCCTTGTGTGTAAGTCATCAAAAAACATGCCAGAGAAGGACTTTGATTGTAAGGTAGATATTTTGCACTGTAGAATACTTCTAACCTAGTTCTTCATTAAAAGTTCTAAGTCTGACAAGTTAAGTACATTTTAAAGTTAAGTACATAGTTAAAACAAGTCATTCTTACAATGTGTTCTGGGCAGTTGACACGAGGGATTTTGCTCCTCAAACCATCATTTTTTGATGAATCTTCTGAACTTAAAGACTGATTGTCTCCTAACTGTGTCACAAAGCCATTCCCTTCCACTTGCTTTTCGTCACTATCTCCATCAGACTGTAATTCATCACCACAAGAGTCTTTGGTTTTCAACTGATCTTTTGTTAACTCGAGATTAGTTGGTGCACTTTGTTTGTCTTCCATCTGATAAATAAATGTAACTTTATGATGAAACAGACAAGACTGATAAAACTGATGGGCATCTGACAAAATGTCAATTAATATGAAAAGCAAAACTCACAGGGAAACGATAGAGCAATAATAAAAACAGTTATAATAATAAATAATAATAATAATAATAATAATAATGATGATGATGACGATAGTGAGGTTCGGAGATCATAAATTAACATTATTATTAAAATATGGTTTAAAAAATTTTAAGCAATGGCAAAAAATAGAGAGTTGAGAAAGAATAGTTGACCTTACATTAGAAATACTTAATGAAATAATTATTACAAAAAATTAAGATTAATGAAAGATACCATGAAAGAGAATGATGAAAAAAGAGTGCAAAAAGGGTAAAACAGTAAAAAGTAAAAATTTAGGGGTACTTAAGGTCATGGCAATTCTAGTACTCTTCGCGACACTAGTTACAAGGCTGGCTACCAAATGAACCACAATAAAACGCTGCCACATTTTCGGAAGAAGTCCAAACTTACCTACTGGATAAGTAAAGGAGTCCGCAATTTACCAAACAACCACAAAGTCCCTTTGCACTGCGAAGCCTGTAGCAACCTGGCGACCTGGCAACGAGCCTAGACGGCCAACAGTGCGCGGAGCATCATGGCCTTACCACCAGGGTTGGATAGGAGACTGAGAACAAGAAACGTCATCGTTGCACGTGCGCAGTGGAGAAGTTAGTCAGCAGATAAAGAGTTTTTTAACCGGGTCATTGTACATTTCTAGAGGAAAAAAGCATGGCGCATCAGTGAGTGAACGGTTTTAACTCTCAAAATAATCTCTTGACTGTTCCAATATTATTATTTTGCAGTTTTGGGCTTAGTCTCTCAGGCGTTATAAGCCACAGTTACGAAAAATACCAGTCGAAAATTACGTGATCAGACTGGGATCACAGAAGCTCAAAAAAATTTTAAAGTTTCCCTTGAAAAGTTGTATATTGTGCTTAGCTGTTTTGTGACTTGGAAATTCTTGTGTCTACTAATGCTTTATATAAACTTACCTTGTTGATGTTTTCTGTACGTCTTAAGAGCATACTTCTTTATTTTTACGTCTAAATTCGTCCTATTTAACTTCCTGTTATTATGCTTTTGATAGGGACGAACTTGCGACGGCTATTTTAAAGAACAAGTCGAAGCCAAACCGTTTACTGGTGGAAGAAGCTATTAATGATGACAATTCTGTTGTATCCATGTCTCAGGTTTGCGTGAAAAGAGAGGCTTTGATTTTATCAAGCATGGTGGTAAACCTACATGAATTTTCGAATCCGATCTGAAGTAATTCACTTTCATTTTCGATTTTTCTTTTGCAGGCCAAGATGGAAGAGCTACAGCTCTTTCGTGGAGATACAGTCCTGATAAAAGGAAAGAAGAGGCGAGATACTGTGAGTTTTCATATGGAATGGTTCAGGAATTTTGTGATGATCAATTATTTGTCTGCTACACCCAACCATCTGATGGTGCTGCTAGATTTGAGAAGTTGTATTTCAATTATTAATTTTTCTTAATAAGAAATTTCACTTGCTTTTTGTTAGTATGCTGAGGTAAAGAAAAAACGAACATATTGATAACAGATGCATCTGTAAACTGTTTGCCATCATTTTTACTGTTTTTGGGTTTGTGTCAGACTCTCATTGGTTGGAAGATGATGTAATCTTTTTTTTCGGCTACTGAAATTTTTGTCATATTGACTTAAGGAAAGGAGCCTTAATGGCTATAAATGAAAATTTTGTATGGGTTAAGGCTTCCCAAGGCATTTATGAATTAAACCTGACACATTAATTTTCTTTGCTTAGTTTGGGCTTAGTGTTCTTTTCCCTTTGAATCAAGTGTGGCATTAGTACAGCTAATTTAATTCTAAAGGCTTTTCAATCAAAACAAGCATTTTATAACTAAATATTTTTGTGTAGTTTCAATAAACTCTTTCTTGTATTTCAACAGGTTTGTATTGTGCTGTCTGATGATTCTATCTCAGATGACAAGATAAGAATGAATCGTGTTGTGAGGAGGAATCTGCGAGTAAGGCTTGGTGACATAGTCAGGTATGTTCTTTAGATTTGACCTGTAAGGTGATTGTGTATCACTTATAACAATGCCGTGGCATTTTCCATGGCATTTTCTGTTGTTGGCAAGGTTATAACTTGGAAATTAGGCTGCCAGCTGAGATTTTAATTGGGGTGGCGTAAAGGAGGTGCTCTGCATTTTCTATTAATGGTGGAGGGGAGAAAGCCTGCATCAAGAGTCCCCAGGCTTGGTAACAAGATTTCATTCCAATCATTTACAGAGCTACTATTAGAAAACTACAAGCTACTACCTGACAACCCCTGGTTGGTCCTAATCAATTGTCCTGAATGATATGAGGATATTGAAAAGAAAAACAAAGTCATAGTGTTTTTGCTACTTTACTGGTCCAATAACATTTTACAGACTTTTACATACTGGATATTTACCTTGTGTATAGTGTGCAAGCATGTCCTGATGTCAAATATGGCAAAAGAATTCATGTCCTGCCATTTGATGACACAGTGGAAGGCCTAACAGGGTTTGTGGAATTTTGAATCTCTCAAGTAGTTAATCTCTAATGAAGTGTATGTTATTTCACAGAAATCAGTATTTAGGTTAAATTTTGGTCTGCACCAGAAGTTTTTGTAAGTGTATATTAATACTCAATAAATAATAACAAGAAATCTTAATTGTTTTCATAATAGTACCACGAAAGCTTTTCAGTGCAGCTAAATTTTGGCTTATTTTAAGGAACCTGTTTGATGTCTACTTGAAGCCATACTTTTTGGAAGCTTACAGACCTATCAGGAAAGGTTTGTGTTTTAATCAATAACTTTGGCCATCATTGTTTAGAATATTGAGGCCAACCATTTTCAATTAAAATTTCTCTAATTGTGAAAGAGGCTAAAAACTCATTCGTGTTGGTACCCTAGCAGTTACCAGCTGTATATTACAGCTTCTTACCACTGTCTGTTTATCTGATGTGCTCCAAGCCCTCCTTTGCAATATTATCACACATTTGTCACATATTAATATCACACAATATTATCACACATTTGTCCTCTGAGTTAAGTACATTTGAAGAAATGTTAGGGAAAAAAAACTAGACTAGAACACGTCTTTCTTTACTGATAATTAAACAAGGTCACTTATACCTGGTACATTTTGGGGCAGAAACTGGGTTTCATACAGAGCATGTTTAATGATTTTTGTTTTCAGAGGACATGTTCCTTGTGCGTGGTGGAATGAGAGCTGTTGAATTCAAGGTCATAGAGACTGATCCAAGCCCATACTGCATTGTGGCACCAGACACAGTTATTCACTGTGAAGGAGAGCCAGTCAAGAGAGAGGTCAGTCAGCTTTCTTTTACGAGAAAAATTGTACTTGGGATTACAGCTTGTATGATTCACATGTACATTATGTTCTTTTCATGCAGGAAGAGGAGGAGTCTCTAAATGAAGTTGGTTATGATGACATTGGTGGCTGTAGGAAGCAGTTGGCTCAAATAAAGGAGGTTTGTTCTTTTGTCATCTGCTTATTGAATTGCTAAATTGATTGCCTTATTGTTTCTTTGCTTATCTGTTTCCCTAACAGATGGTGGAATTACCACTCAGGCATCCCCAGTTGTTTCGCGCCATTGGTGTGAAGGTGAGTTGCTGTTTAAAATGAGACATTAGATTCATGGTAATTTGTTGAAACACCTGCCTGTTTGTCATATCTTTGCAGCCTCCCCGTGGTATTCTTCTCTATGGTCCTCCAGGAACTGGAAAAACCTTGATGGCAAGGTTTGTGTTCTTTCATGAGCAATAATTTGTGTTTTAAAGCATGACAGCTTTTACTTTGTTACCAATCAGCATCAAATTAATCGGAATGGGACTTATTTTGCTTTGTCCTGTTCCTTTTTTTTTTAACAGAGCTGTTGCAAATGAGACGGGAGCATTTTTCTTCTTGATAAATGGTAAGCTTATGCTAATAATTTTTTAATCCAAGGTGTTTCATTTCTTATGGGATGTCAAAATCAAACTGGTTTTAAAAAATTGATTCAAAGGAAAGTAGTCTTGAAAGATGAATAAATTTTCAGCATTCAAGAAGTGTTTTTGCTTTAAAAAGTTACATTCATAATAGAAGAGCTTGATGGAAACATTCTCAACTGTTTCTTTTTGTACTATAGGTCCTGAGATAATGAGTAAACTTGCGGGTGAATCAGAAAGCAATCTTAGGAAAGGTTGGTCATCAGTTTTTGAACATTTTTCAAAAACAGTTATTCCTTGATGTGAACAGAGGCTCATCCTTTTCTTTTTTTGTGTTCAAATAGCTTTTGAGGAGGCAGAAAAAAATTCCCCAGCAATCATATTCATTGATGAAATTGATGCCATTGCTCCAAAGAGAGATAAGGTAAAAATTTCTGGTTGGTGTGTAAATTTGGGAGACCTGAGGCCTGTAAATAATATAAGAAGCATATCTGTAAGGCAATGATAAGAATTTGGTGGGCAAGTTATGTTTAGTGGGAAGCCATTAATATTCTACATCAAAATGTTTTAGATAAAGAGATCTTCTTATAAATGACACCATTAGTGTTCAGCTGTCTAATTCTGATTGTTGCAGACACATGGAGAGGTGGAGCGGCGAATTGTGTCCCAACTTTTGACTTTGATGGATGGTTTAAAGCAGAGGTCCCATGTTATTGTTATGGCAGCAACTAACAGACCAAACAGTGTTGATCCAGCTCTGCGAAGATTTGGTGAGAACATTAATGAATTTCATTGGACCTGTTGGTTTAGTCAGCTTTAATTAATATTGAGTGCATTGTTTCCTTCTTCAAGGCCGTTTTGATAGGGAGGTGGACATTGGCATACCAGATGCTACTGGCCGTTTAGAGATTTTACGTATTCATACAAAGAATATGAAACTTGGGGATGATGTTGATCTTGAGCAGGTAGAATGTAAAGTCTTTTGTCAACTGCAGTTTGTTGGGTGTTCTCGCACTGTGCACTACTGTGTGACTTTATCCTTTGTACCATTTGATTTGTAGATTGCAGCTGAAACTCATGGTTATGTTGGTTCAGATGTTGCATCCCTTTGCTCAGAAGCTGCTCTTCAACAGGTATAGTAGCAGTATTAATTTGTAGAGTCACACTCAACTTTTGACTGCTGCCATGGTGATAACACTCTTTTTTCATGTTTGTGTCTATAGATTCGTGAAAAAATGGATTTAATTGACTTGGAAGATGAACAAATTGATGCGGAGGTGCTGGACTCTTTAGCTGTTTCCATGGATAATTTCAGAGTGAGTATTGGTAGGACCTGATGTATCCAAAGCACAATCTCCTGCCAGATATTAAATATGTTTGTGCAGGTTCACAGCTTTGGAAAATTGATTTGCATGTCTGTTCTAAATTGGGTTCCTCCTAATCATGTTCCCTTTATTAACAGATGGCAGATATTGTTACACATTTGATCTAAAAACAGAAGCAATTTTTGTTTATTCAGTTGTGGCTACAACTCCTCTTTTAATCATGTTAATGTTTAAAATTGTCAGTGTGTTCTAATTATAAACCTAATAATGTTATAATGACAACAGAAACTAAATTGAGTTCAATTTTTTTTGGGGTCAGTATGCCATGGGTGTATCCAACCCATCAGCTCTCCGTGAGACTGTAGTTGAGGTGCCCACAACAACATGGGATGATATTGGTGGTTTAGACACTGTCAAACGTGAACTACAGGAGCTTGTACAGTACCCAGTGGAACATCCAGACAAGTTCCTCAAGTTTGGAATGACACCTTCCAAAGGAGTTCTGTTTTATGGTCCACCAGGTTGTGGTAAAACCCTTCTGGCCAAAGCCATTGCCAATGAATGTCAAGCAAACTTCATTTCCATCAAAGGTCCAGAGCTTCTTACCATGTGGTTTGGTGAGTCAGAGGCCAATGTGCGAGATGTGTTTGACAAGGTTGGTTTTTTGAAGGAACACTCCAATTAAATATTTTGTACCTGAAAATACTTAGACTGGATTTGTTGATGTCCTGTAGCATTTTAGAGAATTTGGAGTTTATCAAAAGGTAACACCTTCTTGAGCCCAAAGGCTATGAATTATGAGCCATCAGAGATCCAAGAATTCTCTGGCAGCCATGCAAAATGTGCTACCAATTTTTCATGTCCTGAGCTATTATTTATGCAGATGTGGGGCCATTAAATAATACTCTCTGTTACTAATTTGGCTTTTTGCTCTTTACCCGTTTGCTGAAAAAATTGTTGCAAGAATTGACATGTTAAGCGCTTGTAAAAGTTTAGAGGTTTAAGCTTTATTTTTTGTTCTTATTCTTTTATTGATATTTATTTATTCAGGCCCGAAGTGCTGCTCCTTGTGTGCTTTTCTTTGATGAATTGGATTCCATTGCTAAGGCAAGGGGAGGCAATGTTGGAGATGGAGGTTAGTTTTCGTTGTCTGCAAGGCCACACCCCCTACTAAACATATGAGAGAAATGTACAAATAATTTTATTTACAGCAGGTCATGTTCCTTGATAATAATATTGGTCTTCTAATTTTGTGCTTAGGAGGAGCAGCAGATCGTGTGATCAACCAGGTGCTGACTGAAATGGATGGAATGAATGTCAAGAAGAATGTCTTCATTATTGGAGCAACCAACAGGTGCTTGTCATGTTTTGTTCTCTGTACTAAGATATGAACATCATAAATTTTATGAATCGGTAATTATTTTATAGATTTTGTTGCTCTATATCACTTGAAATTAAAAGTTGTCCTAGGGTCTATGAAAGAGAACTCTTATTTCAAAAATACATGTTATACTCCAGCCACAGAGTGTGGATCTAGAATTAAACTTGGGTCATTTGTGGGTAACATGGTAGTCTACCTTGATTTAGCATCTTGGATCTGATAAATAACAACAGTGTGAAATGTTATTGGTACCCATTTTAGCTTTAACACTGTCTTGAACATTTTCATTTATTCAACAGGCCAGACATCATTGATCCAGCCATACTGCGGCCAGGTCGTTTGGATCAGCTGATTTACATTCCTCTTCCTGATGAAGCTGTTAGTTGATGAGAAATTCAATTTTTTTTTTTCTTTGAGCATCATAAATGTATCGTAAATCATGTTATTTCTTTGTTTTGTTGTAGCCACGTACATTTGTGATGGTATGATTATTGAACCAAGTATAGTGTTCAATGAGAAAAAAAAGAAAGCACATCAGACTTGTCAGCTTATGTAATTTCCTTGATTCCAATGTATTGGTTGGGTGCTTACCCTCTATTGGGGGCTCCTAGGATGCTAATCCATTCAAGTACAACACAGTTGAATATGATTTGGCAAAATCATTGTAGCTCACCTTGTCAATCTCATTTTTTTCAGTCACGTGTCTCCATTCTTACAGCATGTTTGAGGAAATCACCAATTGCAAAGGTGTGTTTTTTGCACGTACCGGTAATCGTTTTACCCATCTGTGTAGTTTCTCGTGTCCAGATATTTAGTGTGATAGTGTGTGCCTTTCTTTGTACATTCCTCATTAACCATTTCCAATCTGCATTGTTATCTGACTAACTTTAGACTAAACATTTAATTCTGAGTGTTGTAATAAGATATCATAACAGGATGAAGTGGTACTCTCTTTTTCTAAATTTGAACTTGATATACCATTGGTGCATTGTTCTGGAGAAAAGGTGGTTTGAAGACAAACTTGATCATAAGCTTCTGTGCCATTTTTCCTCAAGTACATTTGTTATAACTCAGCTTTTTAGTTCCCTTTTTGTATGCCAGGGTACTTCTTATTAGCAGGAACATAAGCTTATTTTTGGTGAATGAAAAATACAACAATGGTGCTGAATTGAAATAAGCCATCTCCCTTTTCCTACAGTAAAAGCATAGCTAATTCAGAAGAAGTCCCCCGTTAAAACTTTAGTGACAAGTTCCATTGTTGTCTTTGACAGGATGTAGACTTGAATTATATTGCCAAGGTTACTCATGGCTTTAGTGGTGCAGATTTGACAGAGATCTGTCAACGGGTGAGACAAGGATTTTCTTTTGAAGTTCTGAATTTTCACATTCAATATGGTTTTTCAGGATATAGATCAATATTTTTGATGAACAATGCAACCTGTGCCTTTTAATCTCTAATTAAACAATACTGATTTTCTCACAAAGTCAATCAAAAATATAAAGTACACAGTTTTTTTTACCAAGGTGCATTGGGAAACAGCAAGTGATGGTGATGGATAATGCCGGATTGGTGTTGAACAAACTAAAAGATATTATCCATAAGCATGGTTGACTTGTCAAAAAATTGCCTTCTGTGTCACATAATTAGGATTTTCAGTGGTGCGGTAAAGTGTAGGGCTATTGGTCAAGATAAAGTTGGAGTACTCTTCTAAAGTAATTTGAATTTCTGAAAAAATGCAAGTCACATGAACAATATAACTAATCTTACAATTGATCAAATGAATGTCTTTCAAATGACTGATCCTCTAGGCATGTAAACTGGCTGTCAGGGAATCCATAGAGACAGAGATTCGGTTGGAAAGGGAGCGAGCTGACAACCCAGACTTAGACATGGTCAGAGTTTTGTTTGTTCACATATAATTGTTATTAGAAATAACTTTATGCCCCCAGCTGGTCCTTGTACCAGAAAATCTGGATCATCTTTTATATATCTTAACACAATCCAATTCATTTGATATTGTATCAAACATTAAAGTAAAGAGAAATCTAACTAAAGGAGGTTCTTTCCATGCCTTCCCCACTGCATGTAATAAGAAATGTGATTGGGAACATCCAATTAGGAAGAAATCTCTTTACAACAATCACATCTTGTTTCCACAGTAATTGCTAACATTAGACTGAACTCTTTAGGAAGTGGAAGATGAAGATCCTGTGCCGGAGATCACAAGAAGCCATGTTGAAGAGGCAATGAAATTTGCCCGCAGATCGGTCAGTGATAATGATATTCGCAAATACGAGATGTTTGCACAAACTTTGCAGCAGAGCCGTGGATTTGGTGGAAATTTTAGGTACGTTCTACTGCTGCTAAAAAAAGTTGGATCAAGTATGACTAGTTGAATACTTAGCAAAAAATGAAAGACATCACATTGCAACTTCATGGTTTACTTTACTTTATTTAAAGAGGGAAGCGCAGTAACCTGTTACATTTTTCTAACCTGCGGCCCTCAACCCACCCATCCCACCCCAGGGGAGGACATCCATCACACTGTAATCTTGTACGTGGGAAATTAATGTCTCCTACCCCTAACCCTGCAGGAGACAGGACCTCCATTTATTCATCCCTATTCGAGAAGACTAGAATATGTAACCATTTCTTGATGTTATAGAGAGGCAGCATATTCTTCTCAAATATTTAAGTCCTGGAGTGTTGGTCCGGCCAGGGCTCGAACCCCCCCCCCTCCCCCCTACACACAAAAGTCCAGCACTCAATCCATTGAGCTAACTGGGGGGTGGTTAGAAAACTTGTGATGTAGTAACCCTGATAATCATGCAGGGTTGTCGTTAAACACCAGCAGCCAGCGAAATTTGCAAGCTGAGAAAGAGGCAGTTGCCGGCAGAATTTTTGATGGTAATCACTCGACAGATGAGTCTTGACTTTTTACAGTTTGAGTGAAAAGTAAAAATACCTTGCCATTTAAAAAAAAAAAGGTGAAATAAATAGAGAACTACATCTAAGTCGCAGAATTATGAAAGGTGAAATGAAGTGTTGCTTTGAATTCACTGGTCTTAACTGATCTGTGGTGTCTCTCTCTGTTTTGGATCGCCATTTTGTAAACTCGAAGCTCGGTAGCCCCACAGACAAGATGTTGCAAATGACTGGACACAGCCAGCTGAATGGCTTCCTCAGCCGGCAGGCCATTTTTTTAGCTCTAACACTGATCATGTAACATAAAATTACTACAAAAGAATGAGGTTGTTCTTTATTCATCTGGTATGTCTCTACTTGCCACGACAATACATATATTGTTCTCTTTCTTAAGTTTGAAGGCTATATTTTTCACAGATTCCCAAGTCAGTCAGGAGGTGGATCTCAGGGGAGTGGACAGGGAGGTGGGCAAGGTGGCCCAGGAGCAACAGATGATTCTAACTTATATGATGATGGAGATGATGACCTGTACAGTTAGGACAGCCTGCACATTTCCTTTTGTGTTTTTTGGAAAAGTTGCATTTTGATTAAGGCCACCAACTCACCATGCTTCTGTTTAATGCAATGTTGAGGTTAACACCGAAAAAGGAATTTTGTTTGATGAAAATGTAGTGCTTAGCTTAAAATTTTTAAAATGTGATGTATTAGACACTATGATATTTAATAAAGTGCTTTGTAGTGTGATGATCCAAGGTGTGTTACATAAGTACCAAGCAGATGTGGTGCACAGATACACAAATTGGGGACCGGGTAGTCACCCATATTAAGTCTGTATGGCAACAGCTTAATTACATTCAATATATTTCAGTCCATTCTGGAAATGAATGAACTGTTTGATTTGTACAGGTCAAACTCAGAAAGTCAAATAAATTGAATGTATGCCAGACTATTCTTTGAATTTAACATTAACTGAGAAGAAGAATTACCTGCTGTTCATGATCACTTCCCACCCTTCTCTTTTCAAAATTAATGGTCAAGGGAAAGAATGAGAAGAGTTCCAGAAAAGGTTGCTAGAAGGTTGTAGAAGTTGTGTGACAGTAGGGAACCCTCAGCAAATTTGAATCTGATCAAATCCACCTATACATCTGCTTTTCAGAATATAAGGTCAGTTTTAGTTTTAACAGACTATTAAGTGTGCAGGGTTGTTATAACATAAAAACACATTTGGACCAGAATAAGATTTATTTCATTGAAGACAATATTACTATAGATATTTATAAAAACTCAAGGTTACATTCAGGTAATGTTATGGAATAAAACCCACTGACTATCACAAATAGAAGAAGGAGAACAATATTGATAATTATTTGAGTCAAAAGTCTCATTTCACAAATGCTTGCCCAGGCCAGGCAAACAACAGGGTTTTTTTTGTTGTTTTGAGTTATTAAAATGCCAACAAAGTATGTTGCAAAATTTTCATACTGCACTTTTTGTGTTTCAACTACAATAAATGTTTTTATTATATTGAGTTTTAATTGTGTGCGGAACTGACAAACTTCTCATATTCTCCTTATGGAGACATTCTGCCATCTGATTTATGTATAGGAATGAGAAATAAAGTTGTCTTTAAAGCCTCAAGAACCGATGAGTAACCTCGTAAATTCCTACTGAAACAGCAGCTTTCTCATCATAGTCAGACCAGTCCTTGTGCGAAAGAAAATATTTCAGTCAATATCATTATTCACTAGCCTGATACACAACAAGTTGTACATTCAGTGTCGGTCTTAATGTTATTATTAACAAGTCAGTAGACACCAAAAGGGTACTTGTATATTAAAAACCTAGAGAGGGGATTGTTGTCTCTGGTCATGTAGTCATGCTTGACCTGAAAACCAGTTCATGTTCAGGAAAGTAACCTACAGAGATAATTAAAGACCTAAAGAAATAAAGAAATTGAATCTAATGTGACTTTAAGCAATTTTAAGAGTTCTTGAAAAAGTCCACCTTTGCCTTTGGGGCCATTGTTGGTAATCATTTTAAAATAATCCCTTTTGGTAAACTGTTTCCTGATAAGCACCTGTACCTGTGTTCCATTTGACCTGCTTTTTTTTTTTTTCTTTTAACTTCACTTAAAGAGATTACCAGGAATGTAATTTGTTGTAATCCTAATTAGCATAAATTACAATTTTGCCATCTTGCATCAAAGGGCAGGAGATGGGTGCAAACCTCCTGATCACTAACCTGTTTGCTCACATTGACCCTAAAAAAACCCTTTAGTAAAGTGGCTAAAACTCGATAAGCTAAGGACAAACTTAAAAGGGAGTTACCTTCTCTGTTAAATTGATGTCTGAGAACTTTGATGCAGAATCAACAGCGTCAGCCACAAATCCAACCTGAACAAAGGATAACAGGGGTGTATTCAATTTCCATGATAATAATCTTTATCATTGGAGCATGACTGATTGTAGCACCTCCACACACAGAAAAATATATGTCTGTATATATACATACACATCACAAAATAAAGAGTCAAACAAGATGTTGTTTTCCACAAAATTCACCGACCATCATCAGGATTAAAGGCTGTTACATGCCTATCAAACCCCTACACTACAAATTTTAATATACAATGTGACTGGTAAAACAAGATATATCTGTTGTGTATTCGGAATAAAAGGCCAGGAACACAGTAACCAGATCAAGATGGCGGAAGAAGTGTTTTTAATCGAAAAGCAGAAAACCTCATGTACCATACCAAATATGGAAAACAGGTCTCGTGACACTAGCTTCTACTTAGAACAGGGAAACTAAAATTAGGATAAATCTAACAATATCATTACAAATAAAAAAATAAATAGAGCACTTGCTTAATACAATAATCAGACTGTACATGTACATGACACAAATGAAAATTCAGTGCACACAAATTATTTCCACTCCATTTTGACTGACAAAGAACTCCCTCTTGGTAGTACCTTGAAGCTTCATGCAGTGACTTGACTTGTTTGACTCTTCATTTTGTAGAACTTACATTTTGCACTATGAAGAAGATATCTGACAGAGGATCCATGAATATTAGAACTTCTTTTAAAAAAACTTTTGTCCCTGGCACAAGTGTTATATTAAGAAACAAAGAATGATCACTGTCAGTGATAAAAACTCTACACCACTGCTTTCACAGCTGATCAAATACCCCACGGTAAAAGAGTGGCTAGAGAAGGCTTTTAAGTGTATATGCTTGAGGTTTGGTTCAAGAGAGTAAACTATTTGTCAGATACATAACACACCCTTGGAGAGAAGTCAAATGGTTCCAGTCCTCTGCAGTCAAACGCTACCATTGTCTTGAATGTGTTACTATCTTCTATCTATCAAACCAAATTGTAAAAAAATTAAATTTAAAATTTTTGAATGCATAATTTGGATAACAGAGCAGTTTTCAAGTAGATAGCTCTTTACAGTTTTTGCACAAAATTTTACTAAAATGTTTGATTCATGGTTCAATTTCGGTACTTTTGTATGTGGCAGTCCAATCTTTCAGAGTCACATCTTTTCTATCAATCAAAAGACAATCTGACAGCCTTTTAGTGCCCCTTATTACAGGGGCAGTTTCTTGAATTTCTGCGGGGTACAAAATCTAGATGTGGTATTTACCGTGTATTCAGTGATGCTATCCTTAATTATATCTGCAAAATACAGTAGAGATTTTTGAAGTAAGCATGGTTTATTGCAATTGAAAACAATCAAAGGACAATGTTACATTGTAGATCCAAATTTTACATGTAAATTGTTTCCTTTTCACTCAGATGTCTTTATCCCAATAACTACTGACCGTTGATGGTTCTGATTAAAGCAGAGTTTGATGGGATTTTCATTTTCTCCAGCATACCTTTACTAAAGAAGACACCTTGGTTGGTTATTGAGTGAATTATCACAGAAACACTAGAACACTGCTCTTTTCATTTCATTTTTCTTTTCATGTCCTCAGTCAAACCCCTTTAATTCCTCATCAAATGCCTACCTCCCAAATATAAATAGTACATAAAATTCTCACTATATAGGAAGAAAACCTATGGTCTTTTTTTTGCATAGAAAAGCTAAGGAGTTGTCATCAGACCAACTAAGAGCAGTGAGTTTCCAAGTGGTAGTGTTAAACCCAGGAGCACCAAATTACAAGTGCAACCCTCTAACCACTCAGCTACCCTGTTATTACCTTATCAAACAAACAGGTGGTGAACATAAACAAACATTATTTATCAGCTTTATATTGTTTTCATAATGTACCATCAGTCTCTCCACTAATATACAGGGGAATGTTTAACAACTAACATAGAATTAGGGGTTGAGTGAAAGGGTTAAATATCAATAATAAGGAACATTATTCTTTTCTCTTACCCATTGAATTTTCACGACCACACAATTTACATTTCGACACAAAGTTGAATTTTCCTCTGCTTCCTTTAACTGCTTGACTTTCCTGTGATTTATTTAAATGGCAAGTGACAAAAGTAAAAAGTACTCACATAAAAACAAAAAAAGTCATCATAAAATGAGAGTGCAATAAAGATTGGTAACTTTTTCACTATAAAAATCTTATGAATTTCCAAAAAATTCTTTTTAAACATAACTGCAGTTAGGAAAGAGGCGCAAGATTCCAGTTCAAAGAGGAGTCAGTGGTCAAATGTTCATTTTGGAAATGGTGTATTCTTAAAAGAGACTTAGGTTATTTCAGGGGATTTTGGATTCATTATTAATAAATACAAAGTAAAGACTGTAGTTAAAGTCAATTAGGATAGATAAGACGGTTTTTTTTCCATTTTACAATTCCTCCAGTTTGAATTTGCTACAAAGAAAGTTTCTTGTAACTCATACACCAACCCAACTACTTATAATTATAGTTAGTATGTGTAAATGAAAGCATGTATCTTTATTTCATAACTTTTTGCCATATTTTTCTCTTGCTAGTATGCACGTTAACAATGGCAGAAAAATTTCCTTATCTCAAGAACACTTACTCTTTATGCTAACAGCTAAAATACAATACATATGAACTCACCTCTAAGCTCATATAAATCCAGTCCTTTGTATCTTCTCCACAATTCTGACATTGCAACTTAACAATAGGTAAACACAATTGGGTACAAAATTCAATCTGATTGTAACCATAAAACGCAAATTAACTATCGACAGTGGATTCAGGAACAGTTATATCCCCACACAAATGATAGACAAACAGCATAACTCACCAGCAGCGTATCTAAACAAAATATTATGTTTGTTTGCTACATTGTCAGTTGATAATCTCACACCTAAGGGATGCATATGGTATCTTGGAGGCAAAGGTCTGAATCCTGTCGAAGCCTGAATTTTCTTTGGCTTCTTTTCTGCCTCTCATTAAATTGGAGCTCATCTACAAGGATCATTTCCTCAAATTAGGCGTATTAGATAAGGGGAAATTGTGCGATTATAGTAGTCTAAAGACTGTAGAATTTTGAGCCACTAAACTTGTCTGTGATGTAAGTTATACATAATGGTAGAAATTACGCCGTTAGTTAACGTAAAATCTTTCAGAAAGTACATTACCGACTGAAAGAAGTTATGTTTAGTAGCTAACTCTCTTACGTTCGGAAAGTACTGTGACAAACTACTACTACCGTGAAAATAGCTTAAATTTACCTTCAAATACCAACGAAAGTCTTCTCCCTCAGGCTTAACATTGGTTAAATTTTCCAGATTGGCTTTGAACTGTAAAGCTATACGCTGGTTTCAGTTGTTGCAAAATGTAAACAATGAACTCCAATTAGTCAAAATACGGCAGTGAAGTAGCTAGACAGAATATAGCGTAGGAAAACGTATTTCTTCTAACCACTAAAATTTCCTGAACATAAAAAATAGCAACATTTTACATAGTTGAAGACATGGCAGCCTTTGGACGTCACAACCAAAACAAGAACTTACCACCATTGTGCGATTTTGCTACAAAACAACAGTTCCTGTGCCTGCATTAAGAGCGACCAGCGCTTGACACATGGATACTGTCATGCGCTTTAAGTATCCTTGGATGTAGAAGCAACATGGCGCACAATAGATTTCTTGCTCGTACTATTATTGCTGAAAATGGGGCAACAGCAGCCTTGAGGTCGCTACAGCGTGTGCTTTCGCATGAAAATGTCATCAGGGATATCCGTCTCAAACGTTACTACGAGAAACCAACCGTGAAAAGGCGGCGATTGAAGTATGAAAGTGCCCTCAGATTGTACAACTCTGAAATGACTCGCAAAGTAGACTTTGTCATGGCAAAGCAAAGAAAAGAGACTCCGTGGTCATGAAATATATACTGGAACTTTAGAAAGAGAACTACCTGTGATGCTTCTTTGGAAGGACGTTTGAAATGATTGAGTTCTGTCGTGAACTGTAGAACTTGTGAGGAAGCCTGCTCATGGAAATAGCCCTTGATAAATGTTATGTCCGGTATCCATCTGTACTCTGAGCTACTTTGTGAATGAAAGAGATATAAAACGCACTAACTCTTAGAGATGTTTACTTAGTTACCGTGAATGACAGGATCGCGATAGACCAAATGAAAATGCAAGAGTACTGTGTAATGTAAGTAATGCACAACTGTCCTTGTTTTGCTTGCGCCTCTTTAGATTGAACCTAAGCCGAACTGACATATGTCTGGCACATTTTCAGTCGAGTATCGAAAGAAATATTGGACTGTAATAAGTTTGCTTCATATCGCTCTTTGATGGGTATAGAGAACTCGTACCACCCTTACCAACAATCAGATGTATAACAAAGTCTTAACTTGGTCCCTTGTCCACCCGCGCTTCTGGTAGTTTGCTTGCTGCAACTCGGAGTCTCAACTGGCTGGCTACTATCAATGTTTTTCTTTCATCTGATCCGTCATTGTGATTAAACTTCTCATTATCAAACCTTGGTCTCTTTTTAATCATGTGCCTGAAGGTTCCTTCTTGAATGAGACCCACGTGTATCTTCAATACTGGAGCAGGCGACTACCGGTAAATCTGTCCCAGTTTAGCGTGCGGCTATTTTGGACTCAGTTCTTGATGGACCTGGTAAACCATCCAAACTAAGTTAACCCACCGGGAAGATCTGTTTAGAACATGATTTTGTCAACCCAAGGTAGGGAATTACCACCTCATTCTACAGTCTTCCCCTTCAAAGTTGTTCACTTAGTTATGCCCGCCCCAAAGATAAAACCCACTTTAAGGGCAAAAATTATAGCTAAGCATGTGATGAGGGTAACT